GCTATCAAGTCCAACCTTGGCATTGATACCTACATATCAGTGAAAAATTTGATTGCATAGCTAGACCAATGGCACATAAGAACGTGGGCTCGGGTTAGAGATACCGTTGGATTCCTCCAGGTTTTATACTTGTATATGTTAACTTACACTTCTAGATGACGTACATGCACTATGTAATACGCGGAGGCACGGTTGATAGAGAAAAACCCAAAACAGGACCTCAGTATGTCGTGTAAATATGTTGTTGATATTCATGCCAAGGGTAATAATTTACCGTGTAATTAACGGAGGCTGATGTGGGAAACAGGTCATTTTGCCGAAATGTAGGGTTGAACTAGACAATTAGTTAAAAATTTAGGCGAAAAGTAGACATAATTCACCGTAAATCCCGAGATATCACCATCTTTGTTGACAAAGAGGAAACGTCAAGCTGTTTTACCACAACAGGTGAAGATGTTTTAAAGAGCACCCCTTTTGTTTCCTATTCATCTCCTTTAGAAATAGCATTTTCCAAAAAGAAATGAAAAACAGGGCATCGTGTAGAACATAATTTTTTTTTGAAAATAACCTTAAAACAGCCCAACATCACAAAAGGAGGGATGGTGAAGTTACTGATGAGTAAGCATCGACGGTGAGGGCGATGGCTTTAATCCATCCACGTTTATGGTGCAGGACATTTTTGTTTCCGGTTTTTTATGATTGAGAATGAAGCTGTAAATCAGTGGTACCAAATTTGTGCTCTTCTGCTCGCTGGCTTCACTATTTTACCTAGGTAATCCATAACATGCTAATTCAGGCGCTTTCATTATGATATAGTAGTTGGCATTTGATAAATAATGTAGACAACTTCTGGGCGTTTGTAAACACTTTTCTCTCTTTCGATGCACTCTCGAGTTTAATTAACAGCCTTCCCAATTCAAAATTTAACTTTTCCTCCATCACCACATATCACAGCTCATTATACTTTATCACTATATTCTCTTATCTGAAGACTCTTCAACCAAACTTCATTCTAGTAATAGCAGGTAGTATGAGTTTTATTTCATATACAATAGCTTTGTCCGTTCTCCTACAAATGCTTAAGCATTCTTAATGTCTTATATCCAAATACCTTGTTGCTCTTTTGTTCTTATTTTCTGAAACTATGTTAGTAGTGCATGACCAGAGGGCTCCTTTTTGTGTCTGGAACACAAAGCTAACGTACGTGTTTGTCAAGATCACAGCCAATACCAAGCGTCTTTCAATAGCTATTTCAAAACATCTATTAACCTACTAAACAGTTGCGCTGGTCTCGTTTATTTAATAACCTTAATTGAGAGGTAACTAATCTGTAGACAGATGTTGTAAAATACCTTAACTACTATGTCAGAAATATGTTATTGTTATTACGTGTCCCCCTTATTTCCCTTATATTTGCATTTAGTTGTTCTTCTTGGTTTGCATTATTCAAACCCCAAATGTAGAAAATAAATTGAGTCTCAAAGCTTTCGCCACTAGCCGTATTCACGAGAGGCTTACCTACAAAAAACTATGAATAATAGGACGTTTTCTAAAATGAAAATAACACTTTATTATGTTGTACACGTGTCAAGTGTAGCCCAATCAATCATGAAGAAAATTAAAAAGTTCAAACGTCACTCCTCTGACTATATATATGGTAGAATTAATACGGAATAACTACGATTATGTAAGTAAGTAAACGAGAATTTGGAGTTTATCCCCGCTTATTTGGTCTCACCTAGTCGATTCTTTCTCTTTTAAACACATGTTTGTCTACAATTCTATCTCTGATGGAGTCTTAAATGGACTGGCACAAAATCCACTCATCTAATACCTTTCACTTGAATAAATTCAACCCCTCCTATGTCTCAAGCATTTTTATCTCAAAATGTCCCTGGTATACAATCGCTGTGGAGTTTTTGGGACTGCCATGCATGTCATTCTTAATGCAGCCTCATCGAAAACTGTTGTGATCACAATGACTAGCGTCATCCAAAAAATTCACATTTAACCTGAATGGAAACCAATATTAACGTGTGGTCACCAGATAGCAATGCTTCATAACGTTTTGCCATCACTCTGTATCAAACAGTTATCGCCTACCGGTGAAAGTTTGATGTAACCAGATGAGGATAGGCCTTAGTACCCTAAGTACTAAATGTATATATCTAAAATTCACCACTGTTGTGCTGATCCCTGCCGTCTTACAACACACCTGGACCGCACGTGCAAGCCGACGGTTATTTCCAGTGTCCACGGTCCGGTGAGTATACCCATCATTGACCTTTGACCCTTCCATTCATGTTGCAGGGAGTCTAGTCAATATCACCTTTAAACCCCTCCAGAATAAAAAAATGTTTTTGTACAGGTTCATCGCGTATCCATTCCATATGCCAATAGACCTTTATTTGTTTCAATCGTAGAGCTGCCAATTGAAGCATATCATGCTTATTTTTGACCCAAAATTAGACAATTACGCACACTAATATGTTGTTCTTTTGCCAGTTTAACTGTATTCTTTAGAGGTTTTTACAAATAACTTCTGACCGTCACGCAGAACGAGTCAGTACAGAAAGTGATATAATTTCAGAGTAACATTAGGTAATCAAATCTTGTCAATCCTACAACTTTGGACTAGGTCTATTTTCCTTAAAGCACCGATTTGCTCACCTGTATTATTTAGTGCTATATTCGGGCCATACGAATATTTGTAGATTCCTAGCAGATCAGTCAATTTATTCTTCTTGAGTCATGTTTTGGTCCTGTCAGTTATTCTCCTATAAACTTGACTGTTTTTATACGAGCATGTATGTGTGTCGCTTATCTTATCCACCACATGACTCTGCCTTGTCTTTTTGCTAGTCAAAAATAGTGAATGACGTTCTACCAAACGGAGTTAACACGTTTTCGTCCTCCACTAAGCCTCGGTTCCCGCTTGTCATTCTTAATGTCTACCTAAGTTAAAGAGAACCTGAAATAAATTCACCCAACTTAACCCGTATTTGGCTTGTTTCTGCGGTCTCACACATGTAATTAGTCTAGGTATATTATACGAGGTGGGAATAATGGTAGCTAGAACAAACGTATTGGCCGAAATGCCAAATATAAGTGAATATTTCACAAATTTACAAAGTGAACGTTGAGTAATTAAGAACTTCTATTGTTTATTACTGTACGGAAAATTTTTGTTTTCTACTCACTGTATCCCTCCACATTCCGCAGTGCGACGATCACGATCAGCTACGATGGAACTACGATTATCCAGGGAGCGGAATCGAGGACGTTTGGACCCTAAAATGTTTTAATAGTGTCAGCGCTTGTTAAACAGTGACAATGGCCTCCATGTAGTGGTTTTTAATCATAATCTTTATCGTTACTTAATCCTTCATTCCATCGATGGCATTCTGTATTCTCATTCAGTTTGATTCTTTTACTCCCTAAGTTAGTAAACTCGCCAGTCATTGCACGACGGTTGTGTCTGTTAAGTACGACAAATTTACGGATGAATCGTATTTCACATTGACCGAGACAAACTGCCTATATGTTGGCCAATTTCTAGGACGTCAGTAATATACCTCAGTCAGATAGCTTACAATTAAATTTCTCCACATTGTCACCAGTATAGCATTTACATTCTTTCAAATATTTAGCAAGGTCTTTGAGAATGTAAAGCGTTTTAAGAACCATTTTCGGCACACTGAACATATAATCTTCGAGTGCAAAATATGTTTCTGCTACTTTCAGCTTGATGCTGTCTAGAGTGTGCTGTAGAAAGCACGGACTATCTGATGACATGTGCATATAACTGCTATTTCTACACAAAGAATTATTTGTGGGTTAACTTAGTTTTAGACACGTTTCGATAGGCCTGAGGAATCGGAAATCAGTTCATGGTCAAATGTAAAGTGAGAGGTGCTAATGAGTGCGTGCTGCTGGGCATAAACTGACCTAATTTCACGGGGAAGCATATACGTACAGCATTGGATGAAAATTTGGATCCATTTTTTAGTGGAAATATCTTTATTATTGAGTGAGTAGATGAGTTTGCTTTGATCCGGGTAAACTAATTATACCCCGGAAATAAATCTTGGTTTCCCATTCAAGTAGCAGGTTGGGCCAGGATACTGGAGGCTAGAATATTAGTAGTAATGTCGGACGACCTCCCAACACATCTCTCTAAAGACATCTGAAAGTTAAAGGAAGATATGCATCTGACTTCAATCGAACATAAATTAAAGCCAGAGAACCACACGCTGTAAATAAATAGGAAAATTAAAGATGATGATCATACGATTATCAGACTACCCTGGACAGGTACACAGCAAGAACTGACTTCGTACTGACTGTAGGTTAGATCCAGTATTCTTTCAATGAGCCATCGACCAGGAATCATCATGTAAACATAATAAGGTAAGATAATCGGAACTAGATTAGGTCTGTCCAGATTTATTTGAAAAAAATACTGGTACCCAAGTACATATTTTTAACGATTTAAAGTCAAAGACATAAAAGAAAGTTAGGGAGAAAAGATATGTTTGATAGCGCACAGTGGTAGGGGAGCCTGTGACATGTGAACTGGTTACCTAATGTCTAGGAAGAGTTTTGTGTGAGGTCTTGCAGAGATTTGGCGGTGATACCTGACCATGTGCTCCCATCAAAGTTAAAAGTCAGTAGAAATACCGAATGCTTGTAAACCATTCATTTTATGGAGTTACCACAAGCAGCCCCTGAGAAAGTTTTTCAGGATATCCTGAAGTTTCACATGAAGCTGGATCTGTTAAATCAAAAGTTCTCATTGTTTTACGTTATCTCAGCTGATTTGGAGGAAACTTCTGAGATGATTTATAGTGATACAGAATTTTGTACTTTGTATCTTCACTTGGTTCAGGCAAGCATGAGCACAGTTACAATTAATAACCTCATAATTGAGTTTTTCTCATCGATGATCAATAACTACACCCTACATTGGTTCACCAAAAAATAGGCTACATTAATTAAGAGGTTACCTTTGGCACCATCAACAAGTCAACTAGCATACACGATTTTAGCAGATACGAATGAAATTTCCGTCTATACCTAATGCTAATAGCATTATTCATGGATGTACTTAAGGCTACTTGACTAAGGGTATTTTAAAATAAGGAGCTATGGTTAGCTACTAAACATCCTGTATTAACATTGAAAACTGAATTGGAGCGCTTCCATGTTGGGATATGTTGTTAGTTAGCATCGGTTGTGGAGAGTAATTTGTCAAGGCGCTTGATACAGTGATGGACTCGAACAATCTTCTATCTCTAGAATATTCGTTCAGTAGTTCCCTGGTTAGTCTGAGGCGGTCAGTCTCAAGAGAGATTTCCGCTTCTGTTTCTAGTAGGTCGCAAATGCTTCAGTAACATATCTCCTTTAGAAATACGACGGCAGTTCCTATGTGTTCAGAGCGGTAAGTCGTTGACAGTTAATTGTTCATTTTTGTTTCTATAGAATTTAATAATGAGATTTCTCGCTTACGTGAACAAAATAAAGCTCTCGTTCGGTAGGACTATCACTTTAGCTGATTTTTCGCAGAACTTTGCAGCAGATGGAGGAAATGATAAAAGGAAAAGAAATTGAAATATATGGGTTACGTAAGCTTCACTTGGTAATGTTGAAAAAACTTCTAGGCCATCAATTGCAAAGCTTCTCGGCTGGGCGAGGTGTGTGTTCTAATTGCTCTGGAGATTCTATCCAAGCTAGAAACACTTTAGTAAGAAACACTGTCTTTAACCCAACCAAGAAACGCCCGCTTACGACAGTAAGTTATCTAGTTTAGCAGGTTGATTAGAATAATTACCACGTGTTTTGTGTATGTTACTCATTGCTTACTACGTCAGGTCTATTTTCGATCTCAATGGTGACTTTTGATTCATGGTGCTTGGTTTAGTACCAGTTAGCTAGTCATAATCGTTGTCGAACCTAGCACTAACGTGCTTTAGACCAAGTTTCCATTCAACATCACAATGATGAGACAAAATTAAAGCTCTGAATATTCGAAAAGTCGGTTATTGCATCAATAATGACAAGACGTTACGTTCGAGAAAAAAAGTAACATGTGTATAGAAGAATACTGGGACCCAATATTTAGAGAGAGAATAGGGGTGAGTGTGTCTGGATAAATGACCTACTGTGGGCCATGTTGGTCAACACTAACCAACAATCCTAGATTTCCCTCGAACTTGAACTCCTAGTATATCCGCCTGGGTACCCCTAGCTTTGCTCTAGCATACTTATACACCAGCCGCGACTATACTTCAAGGTAGACCGTCATTAAACATACGTATAACACAAGTAAACTACTTCAGTCGATAAACAGTCAGACTAGCGTATTCACCCAAAATCCTATGCTTAACCGCAGTATTACCTACTCGGTCGTTACAAAATCCTCATAATTCTTGTACTTCGAAATCCGGAACTCTGCGCATGTCTTTTACTTTGATAGACATCACAACCACGCAGTAATATAGAGCGGTCTGTCGCTCAATAAACACACTGATGAACAAACACCTCGCTTTCTCCACAAATAACAAAAGTTGTTGAAAACCAACTGAGCTCTGAATCGGTACCGACCCATCACCAGACAGCAAGTCATCGGACTTGACGAGGCTTATAGAGTAAGTACACCTTAGTAGTCCACTCACCATTACTTCACGGGTTGATGGAGACTAGTTTTGAAGCATTTAGCATTTAGAAGCGGAGAAACGCGTCTCGCACACGCATATTTGCTCAAGACTATCGAAAGATTCTGCATTTTGTCAGAGTCTTGACTTGATCGACACATTGTGGCGTACTTTTCATTTTCCCACTTTATTCGTTTGTGATTGCTTCTGTAGCTTCATATTTTTAATTCTTCCCAACCATTGCTATCTTTATTTCTATTTCTTTGCGCTTCCTCGTGCTATGTAGTTATTATTTGTAGCTACTTGAGATTGTATGGGCTGTGTTCTGGCAGTCTTATCTTTACATAGCGATTTACACCCATAAAAACAACTGTCGATGCATTACTCGAGTTTTATCAAATTGTTGAGTTATGTTATGCACTCGATTAATCCATTTGTGATCCTAATACGATTCATCGTACTAATGTGTATCATCACTTCCTATAGATCGATGACTCAGTGCTTGATACGGTCACCTTTCAGTCGACAGCTTGCAGTTTCAGTTCCCCTTAAATTTAAACTGTCAAGTAATCTCACAAGCCTTCACGTAAAGTCTGGCTCAAAGCTGTATGTACACATGTTGCATGAAGTCATTCCCATTTCATGCTATAGGGTTTCTAGTTACATCCAAAGTATGTCTGTTGGGAGGTTAAAATGGATTTTAAACACGCACTATCATGTAATGTGTCTTAAGATCAAGTAATATGCCCTTAAATTCACCCGAAACTTGAGTAAAATCAAGGTATCATGAAAGCAGATAATTCTCTGAATAACATTCTACTTAAGGCTTCTTTGTGGGCAGCCAAATCCATTGTTCCACATCGTAATGTTATTTCTGCACCTCCACAGTGTTTTCGTCTTACCATTTTATACCCTATTTGGATTCACGCTTTGTTTTGAAATACTTTCCTTGCTAATCTGTTATTCACTTGTATACTAAATATCTCTTGTTGCCAAGTTACCCATCTGAAATATATAGTGCATAAAAATTTTGTCCGATTTTTATAAGATTTCATCGTCGTTATCAGATGGTTTGTCGGAATCCAGTTTAAATAGTCATATTCAGCAGCCCATAAAAAAACGTCCATATGTGCTGGAGAACGATGTTGAAAGCGCCGATGTAGAAGACATTAACAACATAACACCAAAAGGTAAGTATCTTAATTATTTCCTCTAAACGTTCAGAATGTCACAAACATTCAGATTTTTGAGATAGAAGTCAGCAGTCCTAATTTATCAATAATCCAGTTTGTGCTTTAAATCCTACCAGATTTGTAATGAGCAAGAAATATCAAAATCTCATTTGATTGCTTCATCATCAAATACCCAAAACTATCGTACTAATTGTTAAATTCCACTACTCAGTGTGTCAAAAGGTTGGCTATTAAGTTCCTAGTGTCAGTACCAGGATCTTGGTTTGGGTAAATGTGTGCTGTCTGTGTAAGACACCCACTCCTATTATTTGTATGAGGAAAACGTGTTTATGTACTTGTATACTGTATAAAAGAATGTTCATCTCCAAGTTATCACATTTCGGATTAACAAATAAGCATGATCACAGATAACGAGTTAAATCAATGGTGTTAATTACCATAGAAAACTAAGTATAAGGAACGTTATTCAAGTGAAATGAATGAGACCAGAAGCTATAACTTAAGCGATTCAAGACTTATAAAAAGAGAATTAGTTTGTCTGGATTATTGCAATTAAATGGATTGAATTCTGTTAACATCTTTACCCACAATCATCGGTGAGTAGACCTCTGCCTCGTACCTTGTGTTTACAGACAGTAGTTCCGTGGAGTTATTTATTTATTTATTTGAACACAAATATTGGTACAAGAGGGCATCAAATATATATGCGCCACACAAAACAATCAGAATTCGAAGAGAAAAAAAGCAATAACGAACAGATTAGTGTAAGGTAGTGTAATAATACTAATAGTAGTAATGGGGGGAACGGAAAGGTACAATCAGAAGAAATCTTTCAGTTAGGAAGATACAACCACTTTTTACGAAGAAAGTAAAAGAAGGTTACAGCAGGATCGCCACTGACTTCTATTCTGAGCCATATCTGATAACGTCTCTAGCCAGTGTCGCACCATCTCTCAGACCCCAGCCAGAGAGTCGTGAACGACCAACAGAAGCCAACCCTTGGCAGCTTTCTTTCATGCCCCGACACCATGTCATACACTGACCACCTCTCCGCTTTCTCCAACCAGTCCCAGAGTCGGCAAATAATGCACGACGTGGAATTCTCCGGAACGACATTCGTAGAACAAGTCCAAGCCACCCAAGTCAGTGTCTCAAGATGGTGACACCAATTGCATTATCGTCTCTGTGCCCGAACACACGATGCCGAACCTCTGCATTACTAACATGGTGTTGCCACTGGATGTCAGCAATCCTTCGGAGACAGCGATGATCGAACACAGAGAGTCGTCTAACGTCCTCAACTCGAAGAGGCCAGGTTTCACAGGCATAGAGCAAAACTGCTCTCATCGACGCGCTGTAGATCCGACCTTTTGCAGCCAGACTAACATCACGAAGGTACCAAAGGTGGCCCAGATTTGCATAAGCCGCTCTGGCTTTCACTATACGTGCATTGATCTCATCACTCACGCCACCACCAACACTCATGCAGCTACATAGATACAGGAACTTCTCAACTACTTTTATCTGCTTAGCATCCAGGGTGGGTACAGGATTACAATCCTGCTCGTCTTGTAGAAGTGCTTTGCACTTCGAATGTGCAAAGCACATACCGTACCTACGGACATTGATTGCCAACTGATTAAGTGTAAATTGCATGGCTTGGGCGTTATCGCACAGTAAGACAATATCATCCGCATAATCAAGGTCGAGAAGTCTTTCTCCAGGCAACAGATCCACACCGCCAGTACTTACATCCATCAGAGCTGTTTCCAGAACGTCATCGATGGCAAAGTTGAAGAGGAATGGTGAGATTGGGCAACCCTGTCTAACCCTACTGTTTGAATGGAACAATGGAGAGAGGTGGTTGTATGCCCTCACTCTGCCTGAGGTGTTTGTATATAGGGCTTTTAGGATGTTAATAAACTTCTCAGGCACACCCTTCTTCAATAGACAATCACAGAGAACAGTCCTGTCCAACGAATCGAAGGCAGCCCTGATGTCAAGAAACACTACGATTGTTGGCCTTTGATAAGTATGGCGGTGTTCTAACATTTGGCGGAGGGTGAATATATATGATCAATACATCCTCGACCAGAACGAAAACCAACCTGACGGAAGACAATAGTTTGGATGCAATCGGAAGTAGACCTATCCCCCGATCAGTCAGTCAGCTACAACGTAGGACCAGGCATATATATGCATCGGTCCAGGTTGCCATACCGCATCAGCACAACGAGATGAACACCGGATTCGTAGCAGTGGTTAGGTCAAAGGTGGTAATATATAAGAGAAAGATTGCATATAGAGATATACTACAAGAAGAAAGAATTGGTTCTTAGAAAGAAAGATATGAAGCGATTTTAATCTCTTAGTTTAAGGGAAGATAGGGAGTGTATACACCGACGCCATTGTGATCGCTTCTAAGCCATGTCACCAAGAGTCTCCAACCATTGGTTACGACAGTCACGCGGACCCCAATCAAGTAGTCTGCATCTACCAACATGGCTCAGACTAGAAGTTAGTGTCTTCAAGCACTGATGCCACGTTTTGGTTTGGCCGCCCCTAACTTTCTTCCAATCATCTCCAATACCGGATAGCATTGCACGTCGTGGTAGTCGGTGTTCACGCATACCTAACACGTCACCCAACCATCTCAGTCGATGAAGATTCATAACCTCATCAACTGATTTACCATCATTCCCTAATACTCTGTGTCTAACCTCACTATTACTTACCCGTGATCCCAGCAGATGCCAGCAATAGTTCTAAGGCATCTGTCGTCAAATACTAATAGCTTACGGGTGTCTTCTACTCTTAATGGCCATGTTTCGCTGCCGTAAATTAAAACAGAACGGACTGCCACGCAGTATACCCGTCCTTTTATTGATAGACGGATATCTCGCCTTCGCCAAAGGTGACGCAAGTTGGCAAAAGCCAAACGAGCTTTTCGAATCCGTGCTGAGATTTCGTCAGACACCAACCCATTAGGGCTGATCAGACTTCCAACATAAGTGAATTTGCCAACGCGTTCGACTACTTCACTCCCTATCCTTAGTTCAGGTGTTGACGCAGACCAGTCCTGAAGCAACAACTTGCATTTAGAGGGAGAGAAGCGCATTCCAAACATTCTGGCATTGTTGCTTAGTGCTACCAAAAGACTCTACAATTTGTCAGCGTCTTCACCAAACAGGACTATGTCATCTGCGTATTCTAAGTCGATAAGTGGACCTCCTGGATGGAGATCAATACCCGAGAACTCAGTCGACGAGAAAGTTATTTCCATTAGTAGGTCTATGATGAAGTTAAACAAAAATGGGGAAAGTGGACAGCCTTGACGGACACCACTTGAGGTTGCAAAAGTAGATGACAGTTCGCCATAAGCTCTGACTCGACTAGTAGTGTTCGAGTAAAGAGCCTTCACAAGGTTTATGTACTTCTGAGGTACACCTTTCAATGACAGACACTGCCACAGAATCTCGCGCTCTACCGAGTCAAATGCTGCTTTCAAGTCAAGAAAGACCACCATTGTCGGACGCCGATATGTATGCCTGTGTCTTAGAACCTGACGAATGGTGAATATGTGGTCGATGCAGCCACGACCAGGTCTGAATCCAGCTTGAGTCTCTCGTGTTTGGAGTTCGCGAGTCTTAGTTAGACGTCCGATAATTATTGAGGCTAGTATTTTAGATACTATATATTAGTTATACTAATCCCTCTATGGTTGTCACAGGATGATTTTGACCCTCTCCTATATATTCGGACGATCAGTGATTGTGGCCAGTCAGATGGAGTTACGTCCAACTCCCAGATCTTAGCTTAAATATTAGTCAACCTAATCAATCACTGAAATTGGACAACCATCCTTATAGACCTCTGGAGCCAATCCATCTGGACCAGCTGCTCTTCCTCATTCTTTGTTAACTATAGGCTTTTGCACTTCAGCTAGATTTGGGGGACCTACTTCAATGTTCCATTCACACTGTCTGGGAATGGAGGGTAGGTCTAGAGTAGCTGAAGGCCAGTTGAACTGTTCTCTGAAATGTTCCGCCCATCGTTCTAAACGTCTGGACTGGGAGCAGATGAGAGTATCGTCTTTTTCCGATATAATCTCACACTTGACTTATTAATTCCAGTTTCTTTTATTAGTCTGTAGAGCTGTCTTGTGTTCCCTATAGTCGCCGCCTTTTCCATCTCTTTTGCTTTCGTTGCCCACCACTGCTCACGGTCGTTTCTTAGACATTTTCTTAACCTAGATCTAATTTGTTGTCGCTCTTCATCATGTTCGGAACCTGATGAGACGAGTTTGCGAGAATCCATCAGTGTGATAGACTTTGAAGAAATCCACTGGTTCTTTGTAACTCTGTGGTTTAAATCATTGATAGATGTCACCGCTGTTTCCACAGCTGTATGTATGGCTTTCCAAGCAACAACTGGGTCAACCTCGTCTTCAGAACTACCTAATCATGACCTCAGTTGTTCCTGGAACCTACTTTTGGTTTCCTCGCCTCTCAGTTCGGTTCGAATGGGTCTTTTTACTGTGGTTTTTTTGCGTCCAGTTAGGCGCAAGCAGATGCGTGCCCGTATTAGGGCGTGGTCGGAGTTCAAGCAGATACTCCAGAATGAGCGACAATCTTCTACCGACCCTCTCCAACGGTGACTGATGGCAATATAGTCTATTTGATTCCATCGTTGGTTTGGTGTAGGGGGTCGCCATGTTAGACGATGTCTCTCCTTATGCTTAAAATTTGTGTTTGCTAAAAATAAACGATTGTCTGAGCACAGTTGCAGCAGACGATCACCATCATCTGTTCACTGTGTCGGAATACTAAAATACCCACCTAAATGTCTTTCTGTTTGGTTTCAGCTACCTACTTGAACACTAAAGTCACCTGCTACGAGTACTATGTCTGGACGTTTAGCTTTCTGAAGAAGTTCAGATAGCTTTCTGCAAAATTCATCTTTCACATCATCTGAGCTGCAGTCAGTGGGAGCGTAGGCAGAAACGACAAAAAGACAACGACGTGTGTCCCTATCCATCCGAGTTCTTACGGAACCGTTTAGCCGAACAGAACATGGGAGACTGTTAACGGCGATCCACTTTAACAGTGCTTGTTCCGCCCTCATGCTTAGTGCTATGCCTACACCTGCCAGTCCACGAGAACTAGCCATCGGGTCGCCAGATACACGGAGGGTGTATCTCGTCGGCTCTTCGTTTTGCCGAGGTGAGGTCAAGTGAATGACCACACTGGAATCCTGTATGCGTGTTTCGGAGACACAGCATACATCAATGGTACGAGATTCTAGAGTTCTAGCCAAGGAAGCCTGCTGACCGATTTGACATACGGTGCGTACGTTGAAGACTCCAATGTGTAGTTTGGAGCGAGGTTTCAGTAGACCTGAGACAGTGTTTCATGCACTAGAATCGTTGGCTATGGTGAAACTTGAGGTGGAAGCCGAAAGAGGAAGTTTAGGGTTGAAAGTCGATGTAGGAGGAATAATAGGAATTGAAGAGGAAGGTTGATTATGAATACAGTGGTCTTGGGTGCTGTTAGAGGTATGAGGGTGGTTATCGCTTCCCGGTTGCCCACACCGTGGAAGGGTTCTTCTGGAGGTACCTGAAAAGGAAATTGGATTAGAGGTGGTCTCAGTGACCTGAGAGCGTGACCGCAGTGCCCAAGGGACAACTGCTTGACGCCGGTCGCGCACGGCCTTTTCGTGGGAGGTTTTTGACTTGTTAGCTCCGTTCTTCAAAGGGCCTTACCGCCGGAGACGGAAATCCGTGAGGTAAGGTGAGGTGTGCATTTTTAGGGTCGACTTTTTCTAACCCCACCCCTCCTTGTGGGAAGGCAGCATCGCTGTCATGCTGGTTGTCTGAATGAAACACCTTACTGCTGTCACACCTCTGTACAGTCAGCAGTACGACTTCGCCTTCGGACCTTGGGTTTGTTGCTTTTAGTCTTACTGCTCTTCAACCGACCTGTGTGACATGGTAGGACCTTGAGGAACGGTTGTTCCAGCCAGTATAGCTCGGTTGCTTCATCACGATAGGCAAGCCCGACCACCACGTCAAGGTAGCAACAACGGTCGGGATCCCCCGATAGTTGTTACAGGAACGACATGAACCGTTTTCAAAGATAGGGACAACTATCGACTCATTCCATGACGTTGGTACACTTTCTAGCTCCCAAACCTTTGTAAACGTCGTCAGTTCCTTAGTCAGAAAGTCACCACCATCTCTAAAAAGGGCCATAGGTACGTCACCTGGGCCCGGTGATTTGTAGCGTCTCAATAGTTCTGCCCATCGTCCAAGACGTCGATGGACTTATACAGCAGCTCGCCTGTGGTGGAAACTGTTCTATCTAAACGTTCCGTGGAGTAATGCCATTCGTTGGTGTGCGTAATATCAGTCAGCATAGTGCATGGAGATTGTTCCTACGATTTAAGTCACTATCGTTCAATGAATAAAAAGGGTTTGAATGCAGTGACTCACAGATTGCCTAGAAAACTATTCTAGTTGTTTTGCTATTATTTAGATCAACTTTTTCTATTTCAAAGTGGTTAAACTTCAAAGAGGGTGATTGAAATGAACTCATATCTTCCTTAGTCTTTTGCATTTCGCGGTTGACGCAATAAGCACTTCAGTTAAATATTCTTGTTTCACTTCGGAAATGCAAATATTGGGTGGTTTTAAAAAAAAGCTAGCATCCTGATCGTTTTATTTAGATTTGCTTGGTAAGTTTAAATTTCAACACCTTAAATCACTTGCTTTCGTAATAAAGGAGTTCGCCGCGTCTTAATCTTTGTGATTCTCTTTACTACAAATAAGTTTTTTAACTATGGTCAAAAAATTTTCCTGTTACAGGTGTTCGCAAATCCCCTTCTGGAGCACCTGATGAGAGTCAATGTGAAGACGAAGTATCCAAAAGCGAATCTACAACACTAACTAACAGCGTTTTCCCTGTCGGTTCCCTTAGCCCACCATCACAAATTTATGATGCTTCCTTAGCAGTAAAAAATGCAATTAATCACAACGATCTGGCTGATTACGATGCTACTCACAGGGATTCTTCTATGTTGGATATGTCAGGTGCAAATAATGGAGGGAACATGTATGTATCATACTGCTTACAGCTATTTTATTCATATTAATGTTTAGCTATTATTGTCATATTCACTTAAATAACTCACCCACTATCAATTTGAGTCCAAAGACCGTCTTGTCTTCCTGGAAATATTAATGTATAAAATATAAGTAATATGTAGTTCTACAACAAACTATGGTGAGTTCAAGTTAAGCTTACATCCAAAGTTATAAGACAACAGTAACCTACCACAAAGCAGTCAAACGTAAGCAATAGATAGTTTGGAATGGCTATTCAAGCAAAGTATATTTCAACTAATAAGAGAGTAAACAGAGTTGATAATTAGTTTAACTAATGAGGTACCTAGAGAAAAACAACTATTGAATACTCGTAAGTAATATAGAGTTATGAAGCAAAAAGTTCACAGCTGTAAGTAATGGTAGTAATAAGTGGATTGTTCCTATTGCCTAACTTTCCAACTGTTATATTTATTATTACCAATGTGCTACCAAGACAAATAATGTGGAGTGTTTACCTGAATTCTTGTAACAAGCGGTGTTTTTAATTATCCTTTGTATTCCTTTTAAGAATCTTGTAAATGAATAATTTCAATTCACCTTACCAACAGTTGATAAAAATTAAGCAGATTTTGTTCCATGGTTTTTATTGTAAATGAATTTCTTATTTTTTCTACTGAACGCGGATCTTCATTTAAAAAATGGTAACCATAAGTCCTGCGTTATAATGGATTTTACAAAACATACTTGAATTACAAGTTTTCGAAGTAATATGTCAATGTTGTGTTTGATTTCGCATCATAAAAGTAATATGCATTACTTAGCAAAGTCTGCTTAGACTATCAAATCACCTTACATATCATGGGATCAGATGTATTTTTCTATTTAGCTTAAGTATCTAGGCAATGCCTTTAATTGTTACGACAAGACTGTCTCAGTTTAACAAGAAGAATATTAATTATTCTAATCAAGTTATTTATTCTGTTATTCTTTCAAATTTAATGCTGAAATCCCTTTGAATGTTAATTCTTCAACATTAGGTTAGAGTCTCCAAGTACTAACCGGACGGGACCTATTGGCGCAGAATTTATTCCAGGTATTAGAAACCCTAACAAATTAATATCAGCGAACGGCCCTGACCAGGTTCAGGTTGTCTGTCATCGACCAAAACGTACACATCGACCATCTTGTCGTTACTTTCATCGTACATTTTCCAGTAAAGAAAACAAGCAAGAAAAACAGAAATCTGATGATACCGGTGATGACATAAGTCTGCCTTCTGGTTTTCTCGAATCCGAAACATCAGTTCATTTACCACCAAAATCCATTACTAACGGTAGTTTGTTTCATTTTGAAGTTCAAATACTTATAATTTAACATTCACTGACTTAATAAATATCCAAATACTTCATTGTATTAATTATTTCTAACATAATGATTAGTTAGTTTACCCATAAACCATACCCTAGATGTTACTTGTGAATATCTCAATAGTGATTTCAATTTCATTAGCTTTACCTGGAACTTAATATTTAAGGATCTTTCATAATGTGCTTCACTTATCGTCGGGAAATATCACTTGATTTCTTCCCTGAATCTAGCTTCAATTCACACACCAAGTAGACAGTATAAAGATGCATGTTTGCGATATATTTCTTACTCATACATACTGAATACTATAAACAGTAATATATTAAAACAGCAAGACTTCTGAAGAAATTATCAACAATTACTTGACAACCATATTGCAAAACATGTGGAACTGATTAGTTCGGGATTTTCCGCTTGTCATGCAACGTATGACTTGTCAAAGGCAGCATAAATTACCTTGCAGATTAACACCGAAAGCGTTAGAATAGGTTTTACATCATAACTGTTCTCATCACAATCGTTTTATGGAAACGTTACCCATTTTTGTGTTGATGAAATTAATCTGATAAATTTTCCGTAAATGTATTCCTTTACAAACGTCAGATTAGAAAATCACTTTGACTGGATACTTACGTAAAATGCAAATTCGTCATATAATTTAAAGAATAGTACAAATATTCTTAATAGTTTGTGTTATTACTATTAGAATGTATAAATTTCTGGTGTTTTGTGTGTGTTCAAATAATGGATTGATATTCAAGAGATCGTTAACCAGAATAGATTTCTATCTAATAAAATTACATGCTTACGTACGATTTATTAATTCAAAAATAATTATGATTATCATAAGCAATTGAACCATCCTAGTTTTGCAGGTCGTTCACTTAAATGAACTGGTCATTTAGATAAAATAACAACACTAGGACTAGCAATCACTATTTCCCCCATAGATCGTGTCGAAAGTTAAAAGCATCACTATTAGGAATATGGTGATCGTATATCATTTTACTCAATATCAAAACGATAAAATTTTCAGTGACCATACATTAATATGTATCTCAAGTAGTAAGCTAATTTTTCCTATGGTCAAATTGGTTTGATATAATTACTGAGATAATGTGAAACACAGAAAGCTACGCTACAGTACTACACGCGTCTCATATGTTGAGGGTTTCAGGAACGCCAGAACTGTTGGATAACCACGTTTTAAGATTTCGTTATGAAAGTTACAAAACCCTGCAACTCTCATTTGTGTTTTTATCCATATTTGCCTTTCGTCATCCTAGATGCATCAACAAAGCACAAACGTAATAAAGCGAAATCTCACTTCCCATCTATTGGTGGTTCACCGACCCGTGATGAGTCAAACTTCAAGTTTCCACTTCCTCCACAACGTACAACCTTGGTTGCAAAAAAAACACTTTCTGTTGCAAATAGCGTTGGTGTAATGGTACGTTTCCGTGATTTTTACCAAAAGCAATACTCTAGATAGTTTTTGAAGTTGTAGAAGGTTTTAGCTATTACTAAAGTTTCTAAGCTTAATTCCGGGAAGAGTTGGGGATACGTACTCCTGAGAAGTGATTTCTAAGGACGAGATGAATATCCAGTGCTTCCTGATTTTCTTTAGTTGTTTAGCTCAAGTTAGTCCACAATGTAAATTACTCTTTCAGTCATTACTCTGATGTAACATTGAATGTATTGTTTGTATATATTGTCTATTGGCCTGAGTGTTCAATGGATTTATCAGATAGTACATACGGGTATATTGATGCATTTATTCATATTTTTAGCAACTCAGAAAGATGAATAAGCTATAAACTAAAAATATAGAAAGTTGTTATCAAACATATGGACAGGTAGACCAATACAGTTCATTACTCCGTATTGTTCGCTCACTGTCTCAAATAATTGTAATTATACATTAGCCTCGTCCATCACGATGATGTCATTCAGAATAACGACAAAAGCTCTACGACCAAACCATCCAGCTCGGAGAACAAAACTCCACCAAAATCATCCACCTAAGCTACAAATCTTTGTTTATCTTATATTTGTTTGAAATCAGTAAGTTCACTGTAAGCTTCCAGTTTGACGGGTCTTCAAACCTTAATGGATTGACTCCAACGGTTTTCGTTGATGGTTCATTGTTGTTTGTTAGGAACTTCACAACATGAATTACATACACTTCAGGCATATTTTTTAAAATGGCTTGACTAAGTAATTGTTCTTTTTTAAAGAATTCTTATCGCAGAAGTAATATTTTGAATTATATTCTTTTAAAAACTCATCTGTTCAAAACTGGTTTATACAATAAACATACATATTAAAGCGATATCATCCTAATCGAGTATTCATTTCAACACCTTTTAATAAAATTAAACGTAATATAATCATTCCTGTAGGCAAATGTAGTTGATATACCTTTATGACCGATACATAATGAAATTTTGCGGAAGGTGGCTAGGATGATTACATAGAAAGGCTTTTTTGATTAATGGTCCTCCATATTTTCCCGTTTTCCTCATGCTTATCAACTGCTTACTCCAACATGCATAGTTTCATAGGTGAAAAAGGGGGGTGTAAATATTTTCCTATCTCCTTATACACAATTGTACCTCTAAGTTTTTTGTATCATCACTGCCCTAGTGACTAGAATGGCATGGAGCTAAAATGAATAGTCATATCTGTAGACCTATACGGTGTAGTGTTATAGCCTATGCTTTGAGGTGAGGTTTACATTAGACAGACCGTGGTTAAGGTGAACAAAAATTTGAAAATTCCCATTTATTTTAACTAATACTATTTTATTGTTTCATGCGGTCCATTCAGATCATTTATTTCATATATCTTGTTCCTATTGTAACTAAAATCTCATAACTCACTTCCTTCTCTCTTGTTGAAAAAATAAGAATACGAGATATTAAATTCATAAAACAACTTTCTCAAGATTGTCAATGGTTCATTCCACCTGGGAATTAATAGTGATTCAGATCAGTTTATCAAGTCGATACTCAACTTTGACACTTTATGTATTATTTTAACACGTAGCTAAGATTATGTCAATTCCAAAGATTGATTCAAATGATTTTTCTTCTAATACGAGACTTTATTCATGTAAATGCGGGGTTTCTGTAAATAGATTTCGCCTTTGTCAATATAAAATAATTATCATGATAAATGTAAAATCTTTATCCATTGAGTTATATTTTCTTTTACACAAGTAGTGTCTTAATCAGACTGATACGAACGATGCGTCTGAAAAGTCTGATATGGATCAAGAAAATAGTGATGAGAATATCGTTTACCCGTGTGACCTTTGTGATCAAGTCTTTAAATATAAACTTGCTCTTTATAGTCACAAAAAATGTGCTCATCGTGCTAAGGTTAGATACTTTTTTTCCCATACTCGTTTTAAATTAAGAAATATATCCTTTTACGTAGAGCGGTTTTTTTGAATGGTAATTGAATTATTGCTAAATCATAAACAATATATAATCTTTTTTTGCAACATAAATTGGTGATTACTTCGGCTTGATTGAATGTTGACCAACATTTTCAAGAACAACAAAGATATAAAAGAGAAACAATGGATATCACAAACCATTCTGGATATTCGTTTGCTTAGATGGATCCAAAAGCCAATAGTTTGTAACAATTCATTAAGAGGAATCGATAAACAATTATCTTTCAAATATTTTTAAGTTTTAGACATTACTCTGAATTATCCAGTCGATCTTAATTTGGCTTTTTGTATTGTACATAAAATTGTCACACTAAATTCTAAACTATTTAATTGACGTAACTTAAAAATTAGTAAGTTAATCTATTTATTGTTGCTAAGTTTGCCCATATTTAGACAAATATGTGTATGCCTGAACACCGACTACCACGACATGCAATGCTATCCGGTATTGGAGATGATTGGAAGAAAGTTAGGGGCGGCCAAACCAAAACGTGGCATCAGTGCTTGAAGACACTAACTTCTAGTCTGAGCCATGTTGGTAGATGCAGACTACTTGATTGGGGTCCGCGTGACTGTCGTAACCAATGGTTGGAGACTCTTGGTGACATGGCTTAGAAGCGATCACAATGGCGTCGGTGTATACACTCCCTATCTTCCCTTAAACTAAGAGATTAAAATCGCTTCATATCTTTCTTTCTAAGAACCAATTCTTTCTTCTTGTAGTATATCTCTATATGCAATCTTTCTCTTATATATTACCACCTTTGACCTAACCACTGCTACGAATCCGGTGTTCATCTCGTTGTGCTGATGCGGTATGGCAACCTGGACCGATGCATATATATGCCTGGTCCTACGTTGTAGCTGACTGACTGACTGAAGTTTGTCCATTACTTACTTACGTTTGTTACTCCCAATGGAGCATAGGCCGCCGACCAGCATTCTCCAACCGACTATGTCCTGGGCCTACCTTTCTAGTTCGATCCAATTGTTGTTCATTCTTCTCATGTCTATCTCCATTTCCCGGCGTAATATTTCTTTTGGTCTTTCTCTTTTCTCTTGGCCTTGAGGATTTCATGTGAGGGCTTGTCTTGTGACGCAGTTGGGTGCTTTCCTCAATGTGTGTCCTATCCACTCCCAGCGCTTCTTCCTGATTTCTTCCTCTGCTGGGATCTGGTTTGTTCTCTCCCACAGTACGTTGTTGCTAATAGTGTCCGGCCAACAGATCCGAAGTATTTTGCGTAGACAACTGTTAATAAACACCTGTGTTTTCTGGATGATGGCTTTCGTAGTTCCCCAGGTTTTTGCCCCATACAGTAGAACAGTCTTGACATTTGTATTGAAAATCCTGACCTTGGTGTTGGTTGACAGTTGTTTTGAGTTCCAGATGTTCTTCAGTTGTAAATATGCTGTTCTTGCTTTGCCGATCCGCGCTTTCACATCTGCATCAGATCCACCGTGTTCATCAATGATGCTGTCCAAATATATAAAGGATTTTACATCTTCCAAATCTTCTCCGTCAATTGTGATTGGATTGGTGCATGATGTGTTGTATATTGCTTTCCCTTTTGTGTATGTTGAGACCTACTGCTGCTACACTGGTCGTCTTCTCTTGCATTTGTTGTTGCGTATGCGATAGAAGAGCCAGATCATCTGAGAATTCTAGACCGTCCAGCTGCATCCTAGCTGTCCACTGTATCCCATACTTCCCCTCAGATGTTGACGTCTTCATGATCCATTCGATCACCAGGAGAAAGAAAAAGGGCGAGATTAAGCAACTTTACCTGCTGCCGGTCTTTACCTCGAACGAGTCTGTCATTTGTCCTCCATGCACGATTTTGCAGTTTAATCCATCATAGGAATTCCGTATGATAGTGAATTTCTTCTCAGGTACGCCGTAGTGTCAAAGAAGCTTCCATAGTGTTGTCCTGTCCACGCTATCAAATGCTTTCTCAGTCAATGAAGTTGATGTAGAGTGATGAATTCCGTTTTAATTGATTGTTCCACAATGATCCGTGGAGTTGCGATTCGGTCTGTACACGATCTATCCTTACGGAATCGTGCCTGTTGGTCTCGAAGTTGGGTGTCTATAAAGTCCTTCATTCTGTTTAACAATACCCTGTTGGAGACTTTTCCCGGTATTGAGAGAAGGGTGATGCCCATGTAGTTATCACACTTACTGAGATCGCCTTTCTGTGGTATTTTGATCAGAAGTCCTTTCCAGTCTGTTGGTACTTGTTCTTCATCCCAAATCTTGCTGAAGAGAATGTAGAGTATCCTTGCAGTTACCGCTACGTCTGCTTTCAGTGCCTCTGCCGGGATATTGTCTGGTCCTGCTGATTTGCCACTCTTGATTTGTCTGATGGCCATGCTGATTTCAATTGTTGGTGGGCCAACATCGATTGGGAGGTCCGTGTGTGCTGCTTCGATATTGGGTGGGTTCAGTGGAGCTGGTCGATTCAAGAGTTCTTTGAAGTGTTCTACTCACCTGTTTCGTTGTTCTTGAATGTTAGTGATTACCTCGCCTTCCTTGCTTTTCACTGGTCGTTCTGGTTTGTGGCGATTTCCAGAGAGTTTCTTTGTCGTGTCATACAATTGTCTCATGTTTCCTTCTCTTGCAGCCTTTTCCGCCGTCGTTGCTAAATCTTCCACATATTTACCTTTGTCAGTTCTGATGCTCCTCTTCACCTGTATTCAGCTTGTGCCTTGACTTTCTCTGCTTTTGTTCGGCTGGTATTGATTGCTGCCTTCTTGTTCCTCCTTTCTTGAATCTTATCCAGTGTATCAACAGTGATCCATTCTTTGCGGTGATGCTTTTTGTGGCCCCGAAGCTCATGACGTGTCGAAGTGATTGCTTCTTTTATTCCTTTCCAGTTGCTCTCCATAGTAGTTCCCTTTCCATTGAGTAGATCATGAAATGCCTGGAACTTATTGCTGAGGGTTATCATGAATTTGTTGAGTTTGTCCGTATCCCGAAGAAAGGCCGTATTGGACTTTTGTGCTGTTGTCCGCCTCATTGTCCGGTGCTTCTTGAGTTTCAATTTCATCTTGGCGACCAGCAGGTGATGATCTGATGCTATACCAGCTCCTCTCTTAGTCCTCACATCCTCCATTGTCCTCCTGAACTTTTTGTTGATGCAGATATGGTCGATTTGGTTTTGCGTAGTGTGATCCGATGAAGTCCATGTGATTTTGTGTATGCGTTTGTGTGGGAATATAGTGTAGCTTATGACCAGCTTATTAAAGGCACACAGGTTTGCAAATCTCACCCTTTTTGATTCCGTGTCGTCCCATGATGTCTCCATATCCAATGTTGTCCATTCCAGCCTTGGCATTTAGGTCTCCCATCAGAGTGGTCAAGTCCTTGATTGGACATTTCTCGACGATTGACTTCAGCCTATAGTAGAATTTGTCTTTAACGTCTGCATTGTAGTCGTTGGTAGGCGCATAGCATTGGATGACGTCCATTGAAATTCTCTCTTTGTTTTGAAGGAGCCTTTGATGATCCTTAGTCCATAAATTCCCATCCTATAAGTGCATTTTGTGCTTGTTTTGATAGCATCAATGCAAATCCTTGTGTATGTGGGGCATTTTCTTCTCCATAGCCAGAGTATAACAGAAGCTCCCCTGAAGCTAGTCGTTGTTGTCCAACTTGCGTCCAACGTGTCACACTTATCCCAAGCACCCCCAGGTTGTATCCTCATTTCTGCAGCGATTTGGAAAACTCTCTCGGTTTCGCACGCTGTACGAGCATTCCATGTACCTAAATAAATAGTTTCTCTGGTTGTCAGAAAGGACACCAGCCTCGTGCCTTCCGAAGGAACTCGGGTTTCACCATGAAGCGTCATAACTCTTCTAAATGAAGACCTTCTGACTCCCAGGGCAGAGTTTAAGTGGTTTGAATAATTTTTTCTGGCTAGCGTTTATTTAGCAAGTTAGTTTTCTACGGGATGGAGTCGCTAACCCCATGTCCAACCCTCCTTTATCCGGGCTTGGGGACCGGCAGTAGCCCCAGAAGAGTCCCAGGAAGAGTTAAGTTTGTCCATTAATTAATGTTTAAATTTATCCTTTAATCGATCGAAACTATATATAAAGTGGGCATTACGATATCGCATGTTGTTTGTATAGAAAAATTATTGTGGACAGAAGTAAATTATCATATATCTCTCTAGGAACAATATCTAATTTCTTCATTCCTTTTTTATAGAGTCACTGCTTTATATAAAATTACTGTGATCAATTGGTAATGATCGTTAGAGAATGTTACTAATCTCAGTGTAGGTTCAATAATAGTTGGTGCAACATTCATAAATAGCTCGTGTTCATGTTTCGTTAAACCGATGGATAAACTTGATACTTTTACAAAGTATTTATTTTGTATAGAAGAAAGTGATTTCAATTCATTTCTGTTTTCTACATGCTTACCAACCTAATCATTTTTTTACTTAAAGTACCACTGAACAATTATATTGTTAGCATTATCTCCGTTGTCTTACGTATAGATGTTAGTTAACATGTGTGTTTATTTATTTGTTTGAACACATAAATATTGGTACAAAGGGGCAACGAATACATATGCACCACACAAGTCACTTGATTTGCGTGTGGGCTGTGATACTGCCCGGGTGCTCAAACCGAAGCAGGTGACTCATCACAATATCTAATAAAATGACCTTGTAAGTGTTATCTTGAACTACTGTTTTTTCTTCAGTCACGTAAGCACGAGTTCTTGTAGATGGCTAGTAATTGTTTTGCAATAGCGAATAAAAATGACTGCAGCTATCATAATCGTTTTTTTGCACATAAAATAGTTATATAGTAAAAATCCTCGATTTATTTATTTCACCAAAAAATTTCACTCGTCTTTAAGACCTTCGCCTCATTCAAGATAGATATATCCATTTCAAACTCTAAATAGATCTGTAACTTAGCAGTTTAGTCACACACAAATGTTAATCGTATCGTTACAGGTTAGCAATCGCCACTAATTTTCAGTTTCCTTTGTTGAATAGCATATTTGTAGCTACAACAATAAATGTAAGTCAATACATCACAAACGTGTACCTAATTACTCAAATTCTGTTATTAATTAGATTAATTTCTTCATCTAAAACTGATCTCAATTCGATTTGGTTCAGATTAATTTCGAATAGCCTTTATCTTTTGGACTAATTTTCCGACTTGATAGACTATCTAATTTAATATGTTTTCTCTACCATCCTCTCATAACTCATTTATTCATTATAAATAATTTTCTGCAGCCTACTAAAAAATCTCATGGAAAATCAGTCAATCGAACATCACCATCAACACCAGATGGCTTTTGGAATATTGACCTAGAACAACATGACAAGGAAAAGGAGAATGTTCCGGTTACAAATACGACTGATACTGAAGTGAATATTCAACACTCTTCCCGCCGCCGTCGACCTTTAAACTTTCCCTCATTCGAAATATCTCCCACACCAATTTAATAAGATTTACATGTAATTGTTTCCCACTGTTGTTTTTATCGACTTTTTATCATTTGATTAACAAACCCGGTAATCGTATATTCGTAACTTGTTTTTTTACACATTTCTACAAAATAAATTATCTACATTTTTATTTTTGTTACCTGTTATTCTGGTGATTTTCATTAATTATCAACTCATTGTTCAATCTTTTGTATTTAACTTTATCTCTTTATTCACGTATTAGCGTCTTATCCAATCCTGGGCTATCCTGTTCAATGATGAAATACCTCCATTTTTAAAAATCTCAAACATCTCCCGATAAAATATTATTCGAGGAACTCTAAGTGAACCAACCAAACAACTGGATCTGAACGTTCATAACTGTCCTATTGGTATTATTATCCTCAATGATCCAAATTGTTTTAACTAGATGAAAATTTTTATTTGTATAATCAGACAGACATCCAAGCAATACAATGACTGAATGAACTAAGAATATACATTGAGTGATGTGTATTAGAATCACATCAAATGTCTCGCATATATAGGTCAGTGAACTAATCCTTTGAGATAATCCAAAGTCTATTCAGAGACATAAATGTACACTGATAGACGTTTAGAATTATCCACGTACTTACTCCTTTTACCTCTCATAGAACATAGGCCACTGGCCAGGATTCTCCAACTAACTCTGTTCTAGGCTCTCCTTCCATTTGTTTCCAAGTGCTATTCCATTCACTTTATGTCTGCTTTTGATTCTCGGCGTGATGTGTTCTGTGATCTGCCTCATTTACTCTTGTCTTCAAGATCCCCAGTTAGGACTCGTCTCATAATACAGTTTGATTTCCTATATATATATATATTTTTTTTCCTATCACCATCGAGCATCTTTTCCTGATTGGCCATACTGATTTCTTCGATCGTTGGTAAAGTAGCAGGCATGGTAAGTCTGTATGTGCTACTTCAATGTCCAATAGATTTGGGCCATCCTGGAGATCTTCAAAGTGTTCTACTCATCTGTTCCTCTGTTCTTGAATCTCAGTGATTGGCTTGCATTTTTCCTTGACTGGTCGCCCCAGTTTACTGTATTTCCCTGCTAGTTTCTTTGTTGTTTCATATTTACTTCTCTTGCAAACTTTTCATCCGTCATTGCTAGGTTTTACACGTATTTCTACTTACGGGCTCTAATGCTTCTCTTCATTCACTTGTTTGCTTCTGTGTATATGGTTTGCACCTTGACTTTCATTACTCTTGTTTGACTATTGTTAACTGCTGTCTTGTTCTTCCTTTCTTGAATTCTGCCCAGGGTTTCAATAGATTCATTCTGTATGATTGTGTTTCATGCGACACAGCCTAATCAGGCCTATTGAAGTTAATGTTTTCTTCATTTGTCTCCATTTCTCCTCCATAATTGTTCTCTCTTTGAGTAGATCTTGTAGAGCTCGAAACTTATTACTGAGAGCGATCTTAAATTAGTTAAGTTTGTCAGTATCTCGAAGTCTGTATTGAACGTTTGTAATACTATTTACCAAGTTATCCAGTTCTTTAACTGAGCGTTCAGCTTGTGCATCATCACGTGGTGATCTTAAGCAATATCATTCCTGTTATCCCATAGTGTCTTTGCCTTTCATGAACCTTAAGATTTTTTATTGATTCAAATACGATCGATCCGTTTCTTTGTAACGTGAGACCTATGTAGCTTTATGTATGCTGTGGGGAAATATCGTGCCACTAATAGACATTTTGTTGACGGCACATGAATTTGGCAATCTCGCCATTCTCGTTTCTTTCTCCATGTTGTTTCATATCTTCCTAATCGATGTTGTCAATTCCGAATTCGGAGTTTAGGTCTACTACCAGGATAGTCGTGTCATTTTCCCGGGCACTTCTCCACGACCGACTGCAGCTTCGTAAGACTGATCTTTACCGTCTTCGTTGCTATCATTGGTAAGTGCATAACACTTGATAACATTCATTCTGATTCTCTCATTTGTTTTGAAGAATGCTTTGATTCTGGATCGATAAGATTCCCACACCGTAAATGCATTGCGTGTTTTTTTGGATATAATCGGTGCAACTCGCTTATATAAAGCACTTTCTCCATAATCAGAGTACAACAATTCCTCCCAAATCTAACCCTTTCTGTCCAACTTGGGTCCAATGAGTTTAACTTATTCCAAGAACCACCGAGTATCTCATTTCTGCAGGAATTCGTTCCTTCCGGTCTCACATTCTCCAGTTATTACGTGAACTTATTCTAATTGTTGCTCTGTTTGTTAGAGGAGGGCATCAGCCTCGCAACTTCCGAATAATATCGGCTTTCACCATGAGGCATCATAATTCTTCTGAATTAAGATCCTTTAACTCTCAAGGCAGTGTTTGGACGGTTTGATTGGTTTTTTCCTGGTAAGTATTTTTTAGCAAGAGTGTTCCCTACAGGATTAGTTTCCTGACCCTTTATCCGACCCTACTTTACCCGAGATTGGGACCAGCAGTAACCCTAAAAGGACTACATTCTGAGTATAAATTAGCTTTATTACTAAATACAAATAACTAGGATGGAACTGAAATTTCTTCAACAGTCACATAATTGTCTGCTATGCTAAACAGATGATTATAAGTTTAAGTTGTCATATACGGAGATTTCTTGTCATTTAAAAACTAAAACAGTGCGAGTATTTACACGTTTTGGTATAGTTGAACTTGATGGAAAATGTTAAATCAAATCAATGGGTCATGAGTTGTGATTACAGCTTATACATATTCCTCGAAACTTAGATTTGGCCGATTGGACAGCAGTATGGTTTCGTGAAAATGTAATGTATTACTACAAATGTGGTTGCTAGTGATTTTCTTCAGATGCTATTTGAAAATATGCAGTACAGTAGCGTTAAGGTTCATCAGTGTTATACATACCTGTTCCTTCAGTCAGTAGGTTTTTTTTAGTTGATCTTAATACAGTTGCTATCTTCCTTAAATAATACGTTTCCCCAACTCTGCTGAACCACCTTTCGTCAGCCAACGTAAATGTCGGAGATCAACTACGAAAGTCTAAATTATTAATGGTACAATATAAAATTCTAAAGAGTTGCTCTATATCACCCAGTTTGCATGGGTTGGTAGAACAAGCAGGCATACATAGCGTACTGTTCATAGCGTCGGAGGGGGGAAACCATATATTAATATGGCAGATAGATATGGTCTGTTTTTTTTTCAAGCGCCCGGTTGAGTGTCTAGGCGTCTACAAAATAAGTTATAATACGAGCATACCAAAATATAGATTCACAATAATGACAATACTTAGGGAACTTGTAGTGTTTCTGTGGTATAGTAGACTTTCTAGTTTTAGTTTATGAAAATAAAACTAACGGAAGTAAATTTTGGCTCTATATATGCTTGTTACGAATATTCCTTTAGTGCTAAAAATGTACGACAAAGGCAAAATAAATGTAACCTAATTTCTGTCAGTCGTAAATTTGTTTTGTATTCACGTTTTCCTGCAACAAAATGTTTATAAACTGATAATACATTCAACTCACATGTTTGCCGAAAACTACGGTTACTGATTTGAAATATTTACTATTTATCCTATATTTAGGATTTGTGAATGGTTAGTTTTGGTGGGCTTCATTTATTCGAGGAGTTACATATACGTTGCCTGAGTACTATTACATATTAAATATGACATACGTTATTCGGTATCATTTCCTAAATTCGCAAATCAGGGTTCTGGCTCCGCATATAATATTTGAGCTGTAACCTAGCATCCTTAGTCATAACGAGTGATGCGATCTGACCGACAAAATTAACCTTGAGATAATGCAAGTTTCGCTCCTATTGGTTTGCAGATTCGCTCAGCTTTTCCTATTCCCAACCAGTACGAAAAGATGAAATTGCAGCTAAGGTCCAGTTCTCGTTTGTTCCAAGCAAACATGGGTTGATATTACGGAGATGCCGAAATAAATCACACCATAAAATAGAAAATCATAGTTATACATCAATATGAGAAATGGCAGTTAGACCGGGCAAACAGATAAGCAATCAACTAGAAATAATGAGACGTAGTGTAATGGTTAGAGAAACAAGAAGGATCAATAAACGTAATATAGAAACATGGTTGTGCATTTACTTAGTAATTATGGAATAAAGGTATGAATAATAAATAGCCCATAATATTTTTGGGAGTTATCACTTCTTCAGCATTTTCCCAAACATTAAGTCACGAACTGTACTTCAGTTTTTATAATCCCCCAATTAATAATCAAAAACCTAACCTTCGGGGCCTTGTTTCGTTTTCAGTAAAGAAAACCTGTTGAGGTGATGAGATTAATACAATCTCACAATTTACTTCGCATTTTTGGCGGGTTAGTACATTTTTAATCAGACCGTGTTTGATGGCCTCTTGGTGGAAACGAGCGTAACCGAAGGGAAAGTGATGCTGCATTTGCTGAAGATATTCATAGTTTGAGGACACCTTATTCTCATAGGTGACTTTTAATCTAAAGCATCATGCCACAATTAAATAAATATTTCTATAATCGAACTCCACAAGGTTGTTATAAGGATGCATCACGAAATATACCATATTATAATTGTGATGCGCAATTTATGCAGACTAATATTTATTTCATTTATGTATTTCCTGAATATGATAAGTGGCATTCTGAAGTTGGGAAGCAAACGCAGCTGGACTATTTCATATGAACTACCTAATTATGACGAAGTTATGTTTATCAAAAATCAACTACCGAGAATATGACGAGGTTAGTTAGCAGAGCTTACATGGATGTGAAAATACAGCATGGTCTATTACACTTATCTCTACCTGATTTCCAATAACTCAAGATCCTTGAATTTAATGGAACTGTGGTGTGTGCTACTGATGTCGGCTGATATGAGTAGGATATATCATCAATCGGAAGTGAAATGCTTGGTGGCAGACGGTTAAGAAGATCAAAGAAAAGAATGAGAACAGGATGATTGGTGTGGAAACGAAGTCTGAGACGGTTGACTGATATTTTGCAAATGAAGTATTTACTCTATGGTTCTCACACTTTACTAAGACGTTCTGTAATTTTGTACTTAATCACATTCGATTGTCCTCACTTGTGTTCTTGTTCACTACAGAACAACTAGCCGGGAAATTCATCCTTAAGTGTGATGATCGTAAACTGACTACTCTTTATTTGTAAGATAATCGAGTTATAGTCTCAATTGGCCAATTTTGCATTGCGACTTAAGCTTCCAATTAACCTCAGATAAACCTGTCCGATCAATCATTAGAGAATGGGATATGAAAGACTACTGATTCAGATTACTGACGGCGATAAGAAATTGGATGTTACTGAGGTATGATCAAATGAACGATTGAAGTGAATGATTTAGGATAGGTCTTTATGAACGCGATATTTTTGACTCAATTACAACGGATAGGATTGTTCAAATAATACGATTCATTTATGTCTGTATTCATTAGAAATGGAGTCCAAGTAAAATACGATAGCAATAAGGTAATACAATGAAATGCTAGCCGTCTACCTAATCACAATGAAATTAGTTTGACTAAATATCAACTCGTTTATCAAGTACTTTGAGATCATTCAAATACTAACCTTTAATTCACTCCTATAAAACACCAATAAGTTAACACATACTTTGTTCATAATGCCTACTGAACTTCTAGCGGTTGTGAGTGTAATTGTGAACTTCATAATCCTTCTGATGGATCTAATGGATTTCTTTGGTACATCAAGAATTCATCTGATCTATTTCAACATAGTCTACTGGGTATGAACTGTACCTTGATATTTCAAATTATATGTACTGTGGTGTACAAGATATGTTCGTATCGATTCTTTGATCGACAAACACCTAAATGCAATTCACCGGATGCAAATTACATTATGTACATAATTAAAATTATCTTAATTTCACACCTAATTATAATGACTTCAAATCATCCTATGCGAATAAAATGAGTTCTTAACGTCTATAAGTGGATAGATTAGTTCATAAATTCAAACGAAATGATAAGTTGTAAAATTTGCCAGTTTTATGTTTGTTTATTAAATTAATAAAGTCATAGATTTTTCTGTCGAATTATGGAGTAATAACAGAATAAACTATTTAGTATTTATTCTTTTGTTCAATTATTTCTGTCGTATATATGCCATCTTTCAGATACATTTGAATATCTAACATTAACGCTGTAAATGTATCTTTGTTTATTAGCACTGAATAATTATTCACTTATGAGTTATTCATACATCGTCATTTGGTCTTACGTAGTTTGAAATGCATGGCATCATTGACTTTGACGCTCTGATTACTACGAGGATATTTCGAATTGTTTCTAAGAGGTCAAATTCTTGTCAAAAGTAAAGACTATAAAATAACGGGTTGACAAATGTTTAGCTAGTAATGTCTTGACAGATTGTACAATGAAACCTTCCAAATACCAGAAATCAATGAAAGGTATATCTAATCATTGATGACCACTAACTCAGTAGATCAATATCTCTTATTTCAGTGAAATTCGTCACACCACCTTCATACAAGTTCGTATTATTCCCACTATGACTAGTTGTTTTCAGTTCTTTTGGATTGAACTAGATGGAGACGAAAAAATGGTAGTGATCTGAATAATTTTCGTATGATGATGGTGCAGGCTTTTTTGTCTGAACTGCAAAACTTCGTCGATTGACTTCTGCTTCATAATTGAGCATTCCGATTGATGTACTGAGACTAATATCGGATCATTTCTTGTATTTTCGATGAATTTTACTATGAGGAAAGTTATGTTTAAAGGTTTACTTGTTAGTATGTAACTTGTATGTAACACGATTTCAAGAAAAGAAATTATTCATTAAAATACAAATATGAAAATTATTATGATGCAGAAAACTGTAAAAAATAGTATAATATTTATGTTGTACACATCAAGAATACGTAATAACAGAAAAAAAATCGGAACTAGTAAAGATGAATGAAGTGTCTATTGATTTAATATCATTCAGTGTTCAATGTATTGACATACTCCTTAAGGAATAAAATACTAAAATCTTGTAATTATATGAAATGCGACTAAAAATGAATTATGATATCTAACTTTTTTTAAAATTTTAATGACTGATACAACATAACATAAAAACTATTTTATTGGAAGAACTCAAATATTGAATATGAATTGGGAATAGTGTAAATAATAGCTAATGTATCCAAGTAATGCACAGAATCATAAACGTAATAAAGCATAGAAAAACCTTCCACAGAAAAATAACTACGAAAATAACCTTAATTCCTTTAGAAATGTGATATTATTTACTTTTGTGTAAAAAAATGAATCTTTTCTGTTTCTATAGAAAAACTAACCCGGTTAGCAAAGAAATTACTGTTTGTTATGAGTATTACAACTATTCATACGATTATGATTGAATGAAATTAAGCGAAAACGGTTGGAAATTTTCTTGATTCTTAGAGGTGAATTCTCTGGGTTGTAAATTATCATTTGACTCTTCGAGTGTATTAGTTGAACGTGTTTCATCTTGTTTATCAATAAAGAACTGATTTGATTTGGCTCTTTTTATAGCAGTAATTGTATCTAGGCAAGCTTGAATAGCTCGACAATTTTGAATTACTTCAGGGGGATCAGCATCTGCATCAAGTTTATCGGTTAACTGTTGTACTGTATTAAGTATTTTCATGAGAATACCATCTTGGATTTGATTATATAAAAATTGGTCATCGTCTGATGACTGAATGGTAATTTCAGATTGACTTTGAATTAATTCACGTGCGCTACTATTGCTACTGCTATCATAACTATTAGTAGTATTTGTAGTCCTTGAATTCGAACTGAATGTATTGTAACTGGAAAATTTATTATTCATACCTAAATTTTCAAAATAAACACAAAGCAACATAAAAGAATCATTTTTGTTTTGATAAATGGTAAAAAATACCATCAATAATCCGCTTATTTGTAGGAAGTTGAAGTGTACATCGAATAAAAATTGAACCAAAGTACCCTTTGGGGATGATAAATAAAGTTAGATGAAAAGTAATGTAGCTGTTTAATTTAAACTGAGTACTTTAAGTTACTGTTAATGTTCCGTATTTGTGTATTCAGATCCAGATACACATGCGGCGTGTTACTTAATCGACAGATATAAATATTATATGACACCAACCGGAAGTAGAAAACTTGGCAGCAGAAGCTTAAGAAGTTCGAGTTGAAGAGAATATAAATGGAAATAGAAAGGAATTGTGAACTTGAAGAATCATACAGAATATTGAGAACAAATGATGGAAATTTGCAAATAAAGTATTCAGTGAATGGTTCTTATATTTTACCAAGATATTCTGTAATTTATTATTGAAACACAATGGTAGTCATCACCTGCGTTCTTGATCACAAAACACGCTTCCTGTGAGTGGTAAGACAGAATAATTAAGAAACTATGGTTGAAAAATCAAATAAAGTGTACACGAATGATCGGAATTCACATATCTGTCCCTCTGACCTAGAAAAAAACATATAAGCTGAAAAAACCTTGAATTATATGATCAACATTATCTAATAGATTGCCTTGTTTATCATTTTTCACTCACCATTCGGAACTGAGATGGCATATCAACACAGCCGTGTGATATGTCCGAATCCGCCCAGTCTACTAGTTACATAAAGAGTGCTCCATTTACTTACCTATATGACACATGGCTTTTGGTTGAGAGGATACCATTTTCACTGATCATAGTTTACCGTTAAATTGAATTTGATCACTAATGTTGTAATTAAACAATAATAGTTTATATGACAGACAACGTTTTCTATCCTTAACTAAACGTAGTTAGTGATGGATGGAATTTCCTCTCTCTTATCATGGGAGAAAATTACAAACCGTTATTAATTGAAAGTTAGCGTTCAGATCACAACTGTCAAAACAGTTTATTGAGCGTTGGTTAATTAAAACAATACGTCAATATTCACTGGTGCCAGAAAATAACACTATCGTTTGGATGCTTTTCCACATCACCTTCAATTTCGAAAATGAATTCAAATCAATCTACTTTCGTAGTAGTTTTATGAAATCATTCAAATCTATATGTTTTATTATTTTTTAAATTCAAGGAAGTAACAAAAAGATTCATCCTAATGCATATGGAAGCATTCCATGAAGACCCTTAAAATTTAAAAGAATCTCGATCAAACTGATTTTATTAAATTTATTTTTTGCCGTTAACATCATTCAGTGTTTTTATATGTATGACGCCACACTGATACTCCTGCTATTCAGTAATCTTAGTTATCTTAAATCCATTTTAATAACCTGTATGATGTTAAACATGATCCTTACTAAACTTATCTGTCTATTATAAACACATACATGTTTATTGAGTATTTATTTATCATACATTATACATTTTAAAATGACACGGGGTAAATAATTATTGAAAATGACTACTGGATAAATTGCCGTAACATAGTTTACGCTTTTTCAATAGTATAAATACAGATTTATTAGATTATAATAAATCGAATCCAGGCAATTTAATATTCATGTAATAAAAACATTAAACATTTAGATGAATGGAGATTTATTTGGTTTATATGTATCCTATTTAAATCAATTTACAATTTTCCACTACAGTCATTACGACCTAATGTCAAACAAATCACATACAACTGTTTTAGAGTGTTCCTCATAGCAAGTACTTCAATTAGACGAATAGTATAAATTTAAAAATAAGAAGGAAATCATTAATATAAACAAACAATAACGTGACCCATAATCCGCTGTAGAAACTTATAATTAAAAAGTATGTACTTATTTCGTCATGAATTAGCTGAACATTTCAATTTCTTTATTATTTAAAAATAAACAGATAGAAAACATAACCGTAAAAATATATTATTGTACTGAATTCTGTATTGTAAAATATAAATACAAATAGACGCGCACTGCTGAGGAGTCCCAAACTAGGAAGAAACGTTCGTCCAATGCTTCTAAATTTTCAATGGTGGTCTTACATTGATCGGTTCACGATCACAATTAAAACTCAACAATCTCTACAACCCTATACCGAAAATTGATGTGTTTTTATGGTTCTGAGTTTGTATCATAGTATTAAACTCATTAAAATGATACAACTATTTATTATAATGGAATTGATTTACAGTTCAGGTGTACGCTTTTGATAGTTTTATATTCTTTGAGCTAGATAACTTAATTGTGAAGATTTCATTGTTGTTCTGGACAACATCATTTGTACCATTATCTAGCATATGAGAATACAACTGAACTAGAATTACTTATCATAAATATGTATAAGCAAATATTAAAAAGTAAAATAAAATATTATATAGACTAAGAAAATTCAAAGTATATTATAGTAAAACACTAATATTCTAAAGATTGAAGTACACTGGCATCTATTAAAATCTAAATTTATTTATAGAAAGAAATTATATTTCATGTCAACAATGCCGAATGCATAAAATAATGTTAATTATGATAATGTCTATTGAATAATTCAATGGATTATTATCACTTTTAATACCATAGTGTTAATTATAGCAATGATATAAATTGAATAGATAGCTCATTTTTTATCATAGGCGCCATAATATTTATACCGATGTTTTATATTGTCTTATAGAAATATTTTGTAGAATATGTATGTATGTTTTATTTAAGTTAAAGACAAGTAATTATGAAATTTTGACAGATAACAGTAAAAATTTTTTTGTAATTTTTGGCATTACACAAATTATATTTCCATAATAATAAATTTATAACTAAAGATCTATGAGTATATAAATATATAAATAAACATCTAGGGATTGAATTATATCAGAAAATATCAATATGTGTACATTAAATCACAGGCTTCTTGTATTTATTTACATTTTTTGTAAACGTTGAATGCATATTATTAACTCTTATTTGACATAAGAATGAGTCACAGTAACAAGTTCATTTTTTCTCTTATTTCTTACAACAATTAAGTCGAACAGAAAAATAAGTACGATCATTATTATTACTACTATTACCATTATCATTACAATTATTATTATTATTATTATTATTATTATTATTATTATTATTATTATTATTATTAATTTGATCGTCATTAATTCGGTCACATTTCATTATACATTTTAATCGATTAAGCAAATATTTTGCATAAAACTCTTACCTATTTAAAAGATATAATGATAAGGAAATTTTGATAAATATTTAATCATGAAAATAATATAGAAATTCGAAGTAGATATATGGTGCGTGCTACTTATATCGATGTAATTAGTATATGACGCGAGTTAAAAACGCAATGTCTGGCAGCAGAAGATGGGAGAAGATCAAGAAAGGAAAATTGACAACACAATGTAATTTGTAAGAAAACGCATGAACAATGAAATGTAAGACAATGGATTGATGTTTGCAAGAGGAACAGCCCAGGTTGATATGATGCATTAATATTTTACAAATTAACGATTTATTATATAGTTTTTTTCTATTTTACCAAGTAACTCTGTAATTCATGCTTTATACAATTCGGTTGTCCTCACCTGTGTTCTCCCCTTCACTACAGATATTTTTTAAAATGAATTTTAGGGATTTATTTTTACTGACGTTTTTGATACTTAACTTTAAAAAAAAAAATAAATAATAAATGATACTTTTCAAGAATTCAAATGATCAAGAAATTCATGATCCAATAGAAGTAAAATGAGATGAGAGTTAGTTAGATTATGAAAATTGTCATCGAATTCGAAATATTTTAAAAGATCAACATTCACAAAATATATGGTAAGGTGAAATGATCAACCATTTTAACTGAATAGATATCATTAACAAGATTAGACTTGATAATTTCGAATAAATTGAGCATTGGGTAAATTATTATAAATAAATTAATATACTTGTAATATACCAATGAGTAGAAAAATTAGATACTGTGACGTTTTGTAACTCAATGTAAACCAATTCTTCAGAGAATAAATAACCAAATCAAAAATTAATTAGCTGAGGTTAGATAGAATGTACATATGTAACACCATCACAAAGTACATTAATAATTAATCCTCAATGTTAAAGGGTTGTGTAAGGTGAGTTATCATGTGATCTAGATTTGTGCTTGAACATACTAAACGAGTAGTAGAGAGAGGAACATACAGTTTAAATGAACTAGAGTTATTTTAGCTCGATTATCAACTGACAAAGATGGTATAGAGGAAAGGATAGTAGTATAAAGAATACACTTGCCAAATTTATGCAGTTCATATGTTTATTTTCTAATAATTCATCAAAATACAATAAGGTGATTGCACAAAATCACCTCTTACCACCCAAACATTACTAAGGTGGTCTAGTTAAATCATCAGAAATAGGTACCATAGACGAAGATGTAAATAGAGTAGCCGAGTTTTTTCATTATATTCTCTAGATAACAGACATCGATAACTTCTGAGTATTCCTTTGGTTATCAAATGTTGATCTAATTTAAATAGGTTATCTACCATTTTGACTTGATAATTCGACATTGGTTGCCACTCAGAGACAAATTAATTTGAACATCTCTCTTATTATAAGAGAACGAGTATTAGAAAAGCTAAAATTCTTGGCGCTATTTTTTAGATTATCATTATTTATACCTTTATTGTATAATTAATAACATTTTTGTTGCATCTCTAGCTTTCAGTGGGCCTATTGACTATTGTTATACTTACCACTATTCCCTGATTATTGCTGATTAATGATCTACTGTTTGCTCCATCCTCAATCATTTGTAGTATAATTGTGCTAAAACTGTGACTTCTTATTTGATATACTGGGTGATCAAACATTTTCAGTATATTATTGTTGTTTGAGTTTTGAGACATGATGGAATTAGGTATAATAGAGGGTTAATCTGCCCCTACCTGCGTCTTCTGATTTTTCACTGAATTAAAAAGAACCCGAAAACCAATGAGCCCTAATACTTGATGTTGTTCATCAGTCAGTGTGTAAATTCATGAAATAAGTCACCGATGCGACTGGGAATATAGTACATGATATCGATCATATATCTATATATTACTCCGATCTCCTTTGCTATTCATCAAGTCAAATTCATGTTAATGGAGTACGGAAATTTGAGCCGACCCTCATCTGTCCCTGAATATATTAATGATAATTCACTTTCTTGCTTAATTCTTGTTGTCTAAGCGTCTAAATGGGATATCTTCTTTTTAGCGGAAATATGGTTAATTAAGATGGCATTAATTAATAAGCTACAAAATTGTAAATCATTTTTAATAGAAAGTACCTTGCGATCGAATACACAGACATGTGAGCGTGCATATAAATACTTTTACATATAACGAGATGATGCTACAGTTTTCTTTAAGACTATTTAACGTGGAGATCCATTTGTGATTGAAATAGACTATTATGAAGATGTCAATAAACATCAAAGTACGTAAAAACTGGTCTGAAATATAAACACCACGTGATATATATATATATATATATATATATATATATATATATCATAGATATCGCAATAATGAGTCAGCGTCTAAGCATTCGTTGTAAAGTCTTAATTAAAAAATTTACTACGCCATTCGCCTTACGTATTGTAACGTTGTCAGTGTAAAGCACTGAGCAGTAGTTAATATGGTAAAAACATAATCATACTGTAGATGATTCATTCAGAAAAAATGAATCCTGAATTTGTTAATTGTAATCTAATGGTTCTTTAATAAGTACAAGACCTTTAGCTCTAATAACTATGTTTGGCTGGGTACTTTCGCATTGTTTGAAATTGTTTTGTTATAAGCAAGATTAAGAAGATACCATGCAATTATATTTAATGATTATCGATATTTGTCTATAGAATCTTTATCTTTTGATGTTATAAACTCTTAGTATATCTTATGCCTGACTGTCTAGTAAGACGGTGTCCTAACATACATTTAAAACTAAGCATTGACAAAAGTTTCATTTATTATAGAAAGACAATGTCAGCTAAGTTTATTACACCAATAGTAGGATATTATCGTATGAATTTTAATTTGTAAGCACTACCATAATTACCATGACACCAGGAATCGACCTCAGACAACTATTGAAAATATAGAAACACTGGAAAACCGTTTCGTTCTAGTAAGGGATTCCTCAGCACTGCGTATACACGATTCCGCAATCGGAGACAAAAAGTATCTTCGGTCTCAGTCATGAACTCTTAAACTCTACACTACTGAGCAAGGATCCATCTGCAACGTTGGATTCCTGCTCATTGGTTTAGAAGTTAAGCGTTCGCACTCGAACCGTGGGTTCTGAGTCCGATTTCCGGTTGTAGGGACGTGGGTAAGTACTGATGAGCAGCTATACACTGTAACTGAATGGCCATCCAAGACTCCCAGGTTCTCAAAGGTTGATTAACTTAGGTAGGTTTGTAACCTCAGTAAAATCCAACGATCTCCACGAACTCATACTGATAACTCGCCTAATTATTCGAGTCAGTGAAATTCGTCGGTGTAATAAATTATTATACCCTTTTAAGCGAAATTATGATCATTAATTAAAAAGGCAAAAGAATCAACACTTTAGATATTGGAGATTTTGTACTCATTGTAGAACATGAGGTACTAAAGATTTGTATTTTTTGGTAGATTTTCGTTCTTTGAAGTGGATAGATCAGTTGTGAAGCTTTCACTGACATAATTTGACACAAATCAATAACGAAATACAAATTCATGTAACCGGTTTTAAGTGATACTTGATTATCTTCGGATAGATCAGTTGCTAATCGAATGACTTAGCTGAAGTTAACAGAGCAGAATTTGAACCTATCTCCTAACAGCTATTCACTCTCTCTCTCTCTCTCTCTCTCTCTCTCTATATATATATATATATATATATATATATATATATATATAGCTCAGGTGGAGTTTTCGGAGGTGGATGATTTGGTCGTGGAGCTTTCGACGTTCTTCTGAACGACATAATCAGTACAAACGTCAGGCAGTTACCAGGTTATGTTGAAGAGTTCAGACTTCCTGATTTAAGTAAACGAGATAATCGTAATCTTCAGTCAAAAGCTTTAAATGATATGGCTTAAAATCGATTTCAATAACACAATTGCATTCATTCTTCATCATATTCTTCTTCTAAATCATCAGTTTAATTTTGTTACACCAGAGGTGTCCAAGTCAAAACATAAAATCGGTCGATGAAGTGACTGATTGTCGGACTGAGCAATATAGGTAGGTGCAGATTCCTTGGTTGGGTTCCTATCAAATATCGTAACGAATGGTCAGAGACATCGAATAGCACAACTCAGAATCAGTCACAATAGAGCAGATGATTTATTTTTACTCTTTAAATACCCGTAAGTTCTGCTCTGAAAATTCATTATTTCATAATCATATTTCCTGTGCTTAATCTTTTCTACCAATGCTGATACTGTTAATATTTTTACTATTTTGGCATTTATCTCGACAACTCCGCTTTGCCGCACCGATTCGGTAACAATTTGAACCGATGAAAGTATGTGCCAGATTCCACGTTGCTTATTACTGATTGACTAGTGTTATTATACACTCTCCATTCCTCAGTTTCATTTCTTTCTTTCTTTCTTGGTGTATACTTCTTATGTTTAGTTTTCTACTAGCATTGATATGACAAATTCCAACCTTTTTTTGATCTTGTAAGGTTTCTGTTTGATTGTGGTTGAATGAAGTGCGACAACGTAAGAATACATACATTTTGGCCAGGTTTTAAATTGTTTACGACTGAGTGACGGATCAACTGATGATCTGTATTGTCATTAAAATTTTAGAATTTATAATATATTGTAAACGATACTCGCTTCTTGACCTGATCTATGTACATAGTATCATCAAATTAACTTGTCCCCAAAATGATTTTATTCTAACATTTGTGATTAAGATAATACAAACCTGCTGTATGAAATATCAATGAACAAAATGTTACACCTGACTTACAAAAAATTTAATATAAGATTATTATTATTATTATTAATGTAATTAAAGTTGTACTAACCATGAGAAAGTAATTGTGATGAACAATTCATCATAGGAGTATTATTAACCGATATTTGGTAATTATCTACCATTTCCAATGTATCATTATGATCTTTATCTTGATAGAGTTGATGTGAAAATGTATCATTATTATCATAGAATCCATTCAACGAATTGACTCCGTCTTCTTCAACAGATTCACGTATTTTCTCCTTTTTCCAATGAATTAGAAAATTCGGAGATGATGATTTGTGACCATTTACATGAGTGTCTTATGATTGACCATGAATCCCATTTTGAAAAAGAAAACAATAAGAAAATAGTACTTTTATGTAACAAACCAAGTTGACATTATGTAAAAACTTCCAGAAAATATTATCCCTGTTTATATCCGATTGGAAATAAAATAAAGTGCTGGCCCAACATATTTTATTGAAAGTTAGTTGAAGTGAATTCAATCGAGATAGACGGTAGTATGTCTTAATACATTGTTTGATTTAAGATGTTTGAAAATAAGAAAAAAAACAGTCTAACTTCCGTAACTTTGCACAAATTTATAGACAAGCACACTTACAGATAGAAAAGAATAAGTAGCCATTCAAATGTTTAGAATGGCATTTTTTGTTATGGTACTGACACACTACTGTGCGCTGTCCTGTTCGATAGAAAAAACTGAATTCCGAATAGTGTTTAAACATCTCATGCATCTATATTTAACCCAACTGATCCCACGAAGGGAACGTGAGTCATGGTTTTCGGTTTGATAAATAACTCACCTACTGACTTGCCGTGATATGAAACGTCATGTAACTTACCTAGTGTACTATGCATATCAATTTAACAACAATCAAAGACAATTCCTGTGAAATATGGTTGACTTGAATAAATAATATCAATAAATAATAGTTATTTTAGTTAAGTATCAAACCCATTACTACAGATGTAATAATCAGAATTGAAAGTTTGACTGAAAGTCCCAATATCCTTGAAAATTAGGCACAACCACATTTATTTCACCCAAAATTATTCAGTAACTCTGGATCGACGATGAATTCGTCATTCTCATCGTGTAGTATAACAACGCCTTTGAAATAGCAGTAATGACAAATCTCCTAATTGTTACTTTTTCATACATGATAATCCAACTATATTATGACTAGACGAGTATTCTTAGGTATTGTCTACGTCATCAGAAGTAAAACATAAATGAAGACTTTCCAGAAATCTCACATTAAAATCCAATTTAGAAATCGCTAGTCTTTGTGTATAAAATAAAACAACGGTGGTATTTCAACCTGACAGAATTCAAAGATGCTCCTGTCTCCTACATATCTACATCCACTCATAATTGGGTCTTTGTCAGATAGGCTTGATAATTAAGTGAAATAACGGCTACCTATCTTCAACATGTCTTTAAATTCAGGTGTATGACTCAAACTAAAGAAATAGACTTATATGATTTGTTTATCATCCAAAAATAATTCTATGTAAATTCAACTGGTCACATATACAATCTGAAATAAGCGCTTTTTTCAAAAAAAGGAAATATCACATTAGTAGTCTCATTAAACTACTAAAGTCCTATGTTTTTATAGGAAGCACATTAAACATACAAACTGCAGGATGGGTGAGACAGGGTATGGAGATAAAAGTAGACAATAGTGAAGAGATGAGTCATATTATTGTATTTAAACTAGTAAGCACTAAAATAAGAAACAAAGCCAATTGAGATATGCGTAAGTGACTCGCCAATGTTCGCCCACGTTCTCCCATCATGTACACATATATAATAGTAAAGCTGTTATTTTGAACAATTTGGGTAAAGGGGAAGGAAACATGCGACTTACACATGTGCACTATTTTTATCACAAAGGCAAATGGAAAAAATATTAACAGACGCTTACTAATCTGAAAATACTATTAGAGCACAAGGTCATAGCTAGGTAACTATAGTTACTGTCTAGTGAGTTTGTATATTTAGAATGTATAGTAGAAATTACAGGATGTTTACGGAAACATATTAAGGTAGCATAAATTGTAAAAAGGTAACATAGATTTCCCAACAAATCCAAACTCATAATCTGGTTCCAAACATTACGAACATAAATAGGGATTTTGCATGTTCTCCATGTTTAACAGTATCCCAAGACAGTGAAGTTTCAATGAGTGGCCTTCTTACTGAAAAGTACGAAATAGGAACATTATGCTGCCGTCAGGTTGTTTTCTTATATGAATGAGATGAACACTTGATAAGGGATCATACACAAAGTAAATGTAATAGAGATCAGTGAGAACCTTTTTAATTGTGAACTATTTTACTGTTAAAGGAAGTTGAATCAAATATCGAGGATATCCATAATATTGCTAATTACTTTCAAAGATACGTTGCAGCTTCTATAGTCAATCCAGCTTTGTAATTTAATTGCTGAAATACAATAGTCTATGCCAACAGTGGACGTTTCTACAGTCCGTCCAGAATGTATCTACCCAAGTACTAATAAGCCTTACTTTAAGAATGCAGTCATCAAAGATATTTTCAAAACAGAATGCCACTAACTATTCGGACTGAATGTGTGATGAAATCTTAAGAGTAAATAATTGCCTTTGGATGTGTTCAGTCACTCGTCCATTAGGAAATTGTTTGTTGTACGGAACTTACCACAGCCATCAATATTACTCTCACTGACTGCCATTGATTTGGACATTTTATTGAATAAATTATTCGAACAATTGTTGAAAGAAGAACATACAATTGGATTTGAATTTAGGTTTGTAGAACTGGAAATATGATGAAATGATGGTAGACAACAATCATTATTGCGATTCACAACTCTACTGTTAAGTCTTGGGTAATATGAACAGCAATAAGTAGTAGTGCACTGTGCTAAACCTCCAGTTAAATTAGGATCGGATGCTGTGAACAGCCCAACAGAATTAAGCAAACTGTCATTGACTAAACTTGATGTTTGTAAAGAAGGTGAATTCATAGATTCACTTTGGATTGGCGTATTGTTGAATCGACTGTAACTGTCAGAAGACAGAAAGATATATATATGTATATATATAGTTATTATTATCATTATAACTATTAGTATTATTACTATTCATTAGTGTGATTTGAAATTCGTAAGTAATTTTACTAGATTTTTTTTCAACTTAGGTATTTGTCCATATGTTAATCTTAGATAATAGATATAACTGGCAGTGTGTTTGAAGTGTTTATTTGCTCTATTATGCCATGTTTGCTAAGGTAAGATTGGGTTAGAGTACAATTTAAGGTTGAATAAACCAAGATATTATACCGTTTCATGAAATTAGCCAATGATTTTGGAAGCTGTGAGTCGGTTTAACTTTGTTGGTTGAACACATTGGGATACTAAACAATAGTGGATGGAAATTCATTCTAACGACGCAAATCCATTTACTACTTATTTGATTTTCAACCTTAAAAAATATTTATTAGCTATTTTTTCTATTCTGAGCCACGTTCTTTCCGTTTATTTTATTATATATCCATTTCATACACATAGTTCCTTTTATCATTTTGAAAAGAGCAAGAACAAACATTCTAGCAGAATAGCATGAATTCATTTGTATTTCGTTGGTTCTTTTCAGCTGCTTACAACCTGTGATATTTAAAATCGTAATTACATAATGTGTTTAAATTACTTACATGAGAGAGTTTAGTTGGAAGTTATATTGAAGACATATTAGTATAGTGTAGCAATGGTGTAAGTATGTAAAAGAACATTCTACAACATTGATTGTGACAGCAGTTCAAACTAATATGTCTTCAATATAACTTCCAACTAAACCCTCTCATGTAAGTAATTTAAACACATTATGTAATTACGATTTTAAATATCACAGGTTGTAAGCAGCTGAAAAGAACCAACGAAATACAAATGAATTCATGCTATTCTGCTAGAATGTTTGTTCTTTATCTATCCATTTGTTGTTTAATTTGTTCTATGCTGTTGGGGAGCTTGAAGACTTCAAGGAGTGTACCGTGATACCGTGTCTTAAATTGATATCTGTCTGTATTGGGTAATCATAAATCGGAAAACATTTAAGATAACTTAAAACTGTAATAAAAGTGATATAAAGTTTTGTATTTCAGATATAATCATTCGCTATTGAAATAGTATTAGTACTGTATATTGTTATTCAATTCTTGGTTTCAAAAATTTCCTTTGTCTATTTTTTTTCGTTGAATTTCGATGCCGCATTCGGTATCACAATTAAACATTTTAGTATTTTATTTTACCTGTGAAACAATATGAACTAGTGTATGATATTTTTGTTATGCGCTACCCTGTTTAAATTTATCTATGTTTTAATTTTCTGCGGATAGTAGAAACACTTCGACTGAAGGAGAAACGCTTTAAACATATATAAGAACATACGTCTAAATTTGATTGAATAGTTTCACAGTATTTAGGCGCCGAGTTGATGTGAGACATTAAAGAGGAAGAATGTATTTGTAAAATCTCAGTGAATGAATTTGAAGTAAATACAACGTTTCGCCTGGCAATCTGATTGAAGGTTTTCCAAGGAAATACAATCGAACATCAAAATTATCTAATATAAATAGGTACATAGTTCTCCAGTTCACTGTATAATGAATAGGCCATCCAATCAACGTTAACAATGTTTAAAGTAAGTATTTGCAATAATTTTTATGTTTGATTATATTTCCTTGAAAAAGATTGGACCAGATTGCCAGGCGAAACGTTGGATTTACTTTTAATTCATCCGCTGAGATTTTACAAATACATTCTTCCGCTTTAAAAATATGTACATAAATGATCTTATTTTAAAATATACTGACTTATATTTTATCAGAAGCAGCAAACATTCTGATAAGCTTTTTCCAATAAATCATTCTCATCAGGCTACACATCAACTAATTTTTAAAAACAACAAATTTATTCATCTCTCCTTATAATGCTTCTAACTTGAACCAATAATCGAGGCAGTCCGCACAGGATGTACATTTGCCAATAGCAAACTGAAACATTGCATTCCTAAACATAAATGGAAAGATTCAAACAGCCAATACAAAAATGAATTAAATTCAAAGGTTTGTTGTTTCGAAATAAATTTCCATCTATCTAATTTATGAGATAGGTTTTATCTAATTTTACTCGACGGCATTTCAGAAGTAATTCTTCAATCCAATTATCGATGTGAACAAATACTAAAACAAAGTATTACAGAATTATCCACTTCTCTCAACAGTGATTAATCTTAACTGATAAGAAAAAAGCTGTCAAAAAATATATGTGTACACAAAAGGCATTGAATACAGACTACTATTAAAATAGAACTATATCAATTCATCAGTCAGTCAGATGCAACTTAGGACCAGGCACATAAATGCATCGGTCCAAGTTGCCATACCTCATTAACAAAACAAGATGAACAACGGATTCATAAAAGTAGTTAATTCAATGATGGTAATATATAAAAGAAAGATTGCATATAAGAACATAGTACAGGAAGAAAGATTTAGTTCGTAGAAAGAAAGATATGAAGCGATTTTATCCTCTTACTTTAAAGGAAGACAGAGAGTGTATACACTTACACAATTGTGATCGATTCTCCAACCATTGATTACGATAGTCACGTGAACTCCAACCAATAAGTCTGCATCTACCAACATGGCACAGACCACAAGTTAGTGACTTCAAGCATTGATACTACGTTTTGGTTTGGCCGCCCCTAACTTTCTTCCAACCATCCCCAAAACCGGTTGGCATTGCGCGTCGTGATAATCAGTGTTCACGCATACGTAACACGTCACCCAACCATCTCAGTCGATGAAGATTCACAACCTCATCAACTGATTTACCATCGTTCCCTAATACCCTGCGTCTAACCTCACTATTACTTACCCGTGATCCCAGCAGATGCCATCAATAGTTCTAAGGCATCTGTCGTCAAATACTAATAGCTTACGAGTGTCTTATACTCTTAATGGCCATGTTTCGCTGCCGTAAATTAAAACAGAACGGACTGCCACGCAGTATACCCGTCCTTTTATTGATAGACGGATATCTCGCCTTCGCCAAAGGTGACGCAAGTTGGCAAAAGCCAAACGAGCTTTTCGAATCCGTGCTGAGATTTCGTCAGACACCAACCCATTAGGGCTGATCAGACTTCCAACATAAGTGAATTTGTCAACGTGTTCGACTACTTCACTCCCTATACTTAGTTCAGGTGTTGACGCAGACCAGTCCTGAAGCAACAACTTGCATTTAGAGGGAGAGAAGCGCATTCAAAACATTCTGGCATTGCTGCTTAGTGCTACCAGAAGACTGCATTTTATCAGCGTCTTTACCAAACAGAACTATGTTATCTGCGTATTCTATGTCGATAAGTGGATCTCCTGGATGGAGATCAATACCCGAGAACTCAGTCGACGAGAATGTTATTTCCATCAGTAGGTCTATGATGAAATTAAACAAAAATGGAGAAAGTGGACAGCCTTGACGGACACCACTTGAGGTTGCAAAAGCAGATGACAGTTCGCCATAAGCTCTGACTCGACTAGCAGTGTTCGAGTAAAGAGCCTTCACAAGGTTTATGCACTTCTGAGGTACACCTTTCAATGACAGACACTGCCACAGAATCTCGCGCTCTACCGAGTCAAATGCTGCTTTCAAGTCAAGAAAGACCACCATTGTCGGACGCCGATATGTATGCTTGTGTTCTAGAACCTGACGAATGGTGAATATGTGGTCGATGCAACCACGACCAGCTTTGAAGCCAGGTTGAGTCTCTCGTGTTTGCAGTTCGCGAGTCTTAGTTAGACGTCCGATAACTATCGAGGCTAGTATTTTAGATACTATATATTAGTTATACTAATCCCTCTATGGTTGTCACAGAATGATTTTGACCCTCTCCTATATATTCGGACGATCAGTGATTGTGGGCAGTCAGATGGAATTACGTCCAACTCCCAGATCTTAGCTTAAATATTAGTCAACCTAATCAATCACTGAAATTGGACCATCATCCTTATAGACCTCTGGAGCCAATCCATCTGGACCAACTGCCCTTTCTCCTTTCAGATTAGCTATAACCTTTTGAACTTCTGCTAGATTCGGGAGACCTACTTCAATGTTCCATTCACACTGTCTGGGAATGGAGGGTAGGTGTAGAGTAGCTGAAGGCCAGTTGAACTGTTCTCAAAAGTATCAATTCATACTTTGCAACCGATTTTTATGCTCAACTATTCTAAAGAACAGATAGTCTATGCTGATGAATGTTTGTAAACATACTTCAAATTATAACTTCATTTAAGAAGTAATCATAGAAGTAATGTTAGTTACACACTATCGTAAACTGTCCAGTGATATGTTATTTATGGTGTAACTGAAATATTAAATCCAACTAGAATAGAAAACCTTTAAGATTTATGCTACAAAATACCTAAGATGAAACTGATTTGTCATTATCTTTAGAAGCCGATTTGAAATTGATAACTGACTTGAATGAAAACCATAATAAGCATATGAGACGTCTGCATTCTTACTTTATTATTTTTAGTAATTCATTCAATTGTTCGTTATTGAGGAGAATAATTTGACGTTGACAGTTGTGTTCAAGAGAACTGACGTCTATTGAAGGTGAACTTATATCAGATTGCTGAGTTCTTGACATATTATTAATTATGGAATTTCTTTGTGAATTATCATTTATAAAGTCTCGATTAGTATCGTCTTCATCAGCAGTAGTACCGTTCCGTGTGATGATTTGAGAGGTTTTATTTATTCCTATTAAATCATTTTCTGTACTATGATTATAAATATTGTTCGATGAAGTGGCCAGGGTAGTTAATTTTTTGAAACTTTCTGATTTTGATACTTTTGACAAGGAATCCTCATAAACGTTCGAAGAATTATTTACATCTATAAGTTTTAAAAAAATTCAACAAAAACAGGGAGATCAACGTAAAATACCTTAAACAAACATTGTTGTCAATTGAATCCGAATAGATGTTTATTTTTCAAAGCTCCCAAAACAAAATTAAAATATATATAAAGGATTGAGCTTTCATGTTGTTGATATTAAATATTTTAATTGAATGGTCTATATTGACACTATATGCTTCTTGAGAAAATTTTGTCTTTGTTTGCTAGTTATAAGTACGTTTGGATCTTAGCTATTAGTAGGTTCTAGGAGACACCTTCCGTCCTATTTTGAATTCATTAGTTGGATGAATTTGAATCTTACTATTGATGTTCGCATTCAAACAGTTATAATCCCTAGTATTAACAAAGATAAAATTCAAACCCTTACATATAAATCCATACAGACTAGACAAGCTAGTAACCACTTGGATTTATTAGATCAGTAGATAATGCGTCAGTGTTTGAAGTGATAAGCACTGGGTTCGAGTTTCACTGAGAACATTAATCAAGGGATAAATGTACATCTAGGTAACGTGTCTGAAATATAACGAAATGGTTGTCCTGAATTCTACAGCTGGTCACATTTCTAATGTACTTGTAACCCTATTTTTTAGACGTAGTTTTAGCTCAGAGTTTGAAAATTCATGAAAAGTCATGGAATATTCATGTCAGTTGTCGGATGAAAGTCTATTTTTTTTAAAAAAAACCGTCTAAGTAAAGTAAACAAATACTTATTCAAATTGATAATATAACATAAGAAATTAGGAAATTTAATGTATAAAGCGAATAATTCTAGTCTTTTCTGCTATCATATGATTAAAGTGAATTTCATATCAAACATATTCTCATAAATTTAATAGGTGGCAATAAATTTATCGTTGACAAAATAGAGACAACAGGGTGTTCTAACTATTTATTTAGAAAACGTTTTGATGAACATTATGTAATGTGTGATTATGTAATTTATCATGTTCAAGAATCGGAGGTAATACTTAAAAATCTGGAATCATTGACTGATTTACCAGTGACTTGAAGTAAATTTTACCTTATATATATAACATGAGTTCGATTAATACCATTGATGATTTTGATATTTCGTAATATAAATCAAAACATTTTCTGAAGCATAGAGTTTCTTCAAGATGATAATAGATAAACCCAAACGTTTGATCTGGCACTTAACATCAACTACCTTCAAACAACACTGTCCAACATAGTCATTTATTATAGTAATTAAACTATTTCATTGGATGATAAAATCCATTCACAACTAAAAAACAAACTGTACAATATTGATTACATTCATTAATGACATATTTTGTTACATAACATGTATAATTGTTTTATTTTATTGAAAGAATATGTCACTGGGAATATATCATATAATTAGTTGCAGAAAATAAGATATTTACCTAGCAACAGATGATTATATTATATTCCAATGTAATAAATAAGCAATTTGAAGGTGATTGGCATTATTAAATCAGTATTAGTTAAAAAATAATTGCTTCTTACTTCCTAGTTTTCCACAATTTTCTGATTGATAAGAATTTGTCAAGATAATCATTACCAGTGAGTTATACTAAATCTTAATAAAACAATCTGAATTTAGATGGATAAGCACTGAACGAACGACATTCACTGACATGTAAAAGTTTTTACAGTGAATTTAAATAACAGCGGTTATACATATGATGTATATATGTATATATACACATGCAACCCATTTAAACTTTATCATTTAATTGTAATAAAATAAAAATATTGATGAAAAGAAAGACATTTCAATGTTTATATATGACGGTTTCTTCTTGAATACTCACCTAAAACTGAATTACTATTGAATAACTGGTATTCTTCACTAGTCAAGATATTATTTGACAATTTCTTTGGAGGTAAAATACATTTTGAAATATTAGAGAGATCTTCCTAAACAAAATATAAAAAAAAGACAATCAAGTCGAGATTTGATCGAAATAGATAATATCTACTTTAAGATAGTTTTCCAGCACAAAAGGATATTGGCTAGAAAAACAGGAAGAGTTAAACACAGTTGTTTCATTTTACATTGAAATTATTCTCGGCGATGAATAATCACAGTCATACACGAGATCGATTTGGAATGATAAAATAACTCCCGATCAAAAAAACTGTTTTCATAATACTGACTAGATGCGATAAAGCGTCTATTGAAAAGCTGTGAGTGATTGAAGTTAACCATTTCGTGATTAACGTATATATTCTTGATATCATTAAATAGTCGTGAAGATTTATTCTGTATCGAATGACATTAGAAATGATCTTTGGGTTTTAGTTTAGTCATGTCATTCTCACAGTGTATAGTGGTACGCTTATACATTAGTCACAAGTCCAAATGAAGGTAATGAGATCAGTTCATGGTCATTAACTTTTAGAGTGGGCCATATTGAAAGGTGCACACTTCTGTTTTTAAACCTTAGATCATACAACACCAAATTGGGCACAATAACATATTGTCGTATTCCTCTACCTATATTTTTCCTTCTGAAATGTAAATCTTATAATTATTTTTTTTACCACGTTTAATGTTCGGATTCTCATCCTTTTGATTTGAATCTCGCTAAATTTCTTTTTTTTTCATGTTGTTCTAAGCTAACGTTTGGCAACTTGGATCGATACATATTTGCTCCAAAGTCTACATCAAGTATATCTTATAGGCTGATCTCAATCTGCGTATCAGTGACAGTGGACTATGTAGAAACCAATGTATACGGAATGACAAAACTAACAACCATTTGAAACGGTAATGAGTTTTTACTGTGAATTTTCTAGTAATGAGGAAGTAGAAAAGAAGAAAAATTTTGAACTGTATACAAGAAGTCAATTTGTTTTCCCAACATTATATAAATAGTGTTTGTAAATCTTACCTAACTTTTTCATTCACTCATATCTATAAAAGTTATATTCTTTTTGCTAAGAATAATATGTTCGAAGTATTTGTGTTATTTTTACGTAAATAAATCGAGAACTTACATACAATTGGATAACTCGAAAACCCTAACAATAGATCTGTTATCACAAGAATTTTTGCGATGGTATTTTGAGAGTAAATTATTCTGACCTATGGAAACACTCTTAATCTAACACGTAATTTGATGCATTTTAACATACACTGATGGTCTATGTTTAGTTTTAAAGGATTAGAAATTAATTATGAAGAACTATTTTGGTACTTATCTAACAAATTTGATTTAGAATTAACTACCTCATACGTGGATCTCAAAGAATGATCTTCATACTATGTATATTGTATGTAACACTGGAAACGTTGATATTTACAGAATAATATTCACAAATATGTAATATCAGATATTTAATGGGTTATATACGGTTTCAAATATAAGCAATCAACGTTTTCAATAGTTATTCTAGACATTGTTGACCTGGTATTTCAATGAAATTTTCAATTTGACCTTCTAAATTTAGTATTTTGTACTACTATTTACGCTAGCCAACAAGAGAAAAGCATTAGCCGCTACATGTTAGATTCGATCGATAAGCATAGTTGTTAAATAACACCAAAAGTCAACAAATATATGTCAATAATTTCCTGAGAAACATTCGGTATTATTTTTTTTAATAAAACAAATCTCACCACAAACAGTTTATTTGTAGTTTCAGTTCAATCTGATGCTGACAACCAATTGAATTCGAGAAAATATGAGAAAATTACTCAACAAAATAAACAAGGAAATTATGATGCTGTTAACTCGTGATTTAATACATTCCTAGAATGGTCACCACATCAATGATACTTGAACATCATAAGACGAAAATGTACTATTATCACACCATATGATCAAAACGTATTATTATTATTATTATTATTATTATTATTATTATTATTATTATTATTATTATTATATCATATAATCAGCTGTCTATCAGATAAGACTAATATTCACGTCAATTGCATGCAGTCGGTTAAACAATAATCCACATACAGATCAAATGGCTTGAGCTTAGACATTTTACTATGAGTCATTTAATAAATGATGAACTATACTGGTTAATTATTTGTTTCTTAATGCATTTTAGACAAATGAGTTCAGTTTTCACATGAGGCAAATAATTTATTAAAAGATATAAAACTAAAAAAGTGACAGTCAAATAAGTATTTTGTCAAATAACAACTACGCTTATATAAAGTATTATATTGTTGACTAAAGAAGAAATGATGTTGCTTAGTAATGTAGTCAGAAAGCTCATAAGGAAAAGAGAATAGTTAGATCGATTGTCATCCTAAGCTTTAAATTTGTTAAATATGAATAATAGTGATCTCATAGTGAACAGGGTAATCAACCATAATCCACCAAACTTCTAGGATAAATTTCAAACTCAACCTTTTCATACAAACATAAATATTAAACCAAGTAATGTAAACTTCAAGGTGAATAAATAATATTACAACATTTATGATTGTCTTGAATAGAAGAAATTACTTGAATTCACTTCCGAATGTATCTTACTTCTTCATTATAATTTATAATTTTACTTCTATTTTATTGAAGCTATACTTACTAATTTTTTTAAACAGTTAGGAATGATCCATATTCTATTTTTCTACAGTCATTAATTGATGGATTATCTGTATGTACGTTTACAGTATTACTGCTTTTAATGATCATATAACGTAAAATTCTAGATAAATAATTTTTTAAAGATCTTTTTAAGTTTCAAAGTTAGTTTCCATCCCAAACTGACATTAGATGCGAAACAGATGTTTAACTTCAGTTTAGGGTATTTCACAAACAAACAGTGACCACAGTAATCAGATATCAATCCAAAACCATTCAATTTCACCGTGATAATAAATTTAAACTACTAGGTTGGGATCTATGGATATGTATCATCAACTTCATTTTTGTTACCGCTACCTACCAATTTCATTTTAGTATTATTGTAATAAACATGAGAAAATATCAAGGGATATATCTTATATGAATAATTCGTTCATAGTGAACTCATTAAATATCATTATCTTACAAATGAATTTTTACAATATCTACAATGACCAATAGATTTCCGATGTGCTACCTAATCTCTATTTATAATTTTCAAGCTACTATTGTTTAAACTGTGCGAAAAATTTTTTTTTCAGTTTCAGTTTTAACAGGTAGTATGAAAGTTCTCTCGGATGATAGTGAAGACTGAAACATTTATAATTGTGACTGAAAGTGGTTAGCTTAGTGACTTAATTCCTGTTTGGTCATTATTAATCTATACAACCCGATGAAAACTACTCTTTATCCGCCACAGAACGAACGGCTTCGTGATAACGCTTATAATTCTAAATCATAAAGGTCCAAGTTTGCAATTGCTCAAAGTTGAAAGTTTGTTTTGGAATTGGATTCCATTAAGCCAGAAATTTAGTGTACTTTTATCAACCACAAGAAAAAGCTCTTATGGTAATGAAGGGATGTAAGCGACTGAAACTTATGTGCTATCCATTCTATGGGATGATCCTCCTTTTCCAGAAACCAGGAAAAATTGGATTTTTACTAATGGTGCCATTAACATGAAACCTCAAACGAACTAACAAAAGGACTACTACTTGAGAATGATGATAGTCTTTAAACAGATAACTGTTCTCAGTTTTGTAAAACTGCCCATATTTTGTAGAGACTATACTATTACTGGAATTTCATGAGAAAAGGGGTGTATTTGAGATACGAACATCGCTATCGATTTACTTCTATAGAAGTGTAGTATCTTGTAAGTTGTGGTATGAAGAGAAAATTGAATGTTTTATGATAAATGAGAATCTCTGTAAATGAGTATGGATTGAGGATAGAATATTGTCATTATTTACCATTACCATAATTGGACTACAGTAAAATGACGGATTAAATCGTAAAATAATGAAGATAACGCTAATTTTAAACAAAAATAATTATCTAGTGTATACTTCAAAGTTACCTTAAAATGGTGAAATCGAGGAAATAAAAGTCAAACACAGGATTTATGCACAATAGATCTCTTTGATATCACGGAAATATGGAAAAGATACTAGCAGTTCAACAAAGCTGCCACATCCTGTGTCGGTAACGGTTATAAACAATGGTTACCCAATTACTTTCTTTGACTTCATCTACACATTTAGACAAGGATATTGAATACTTTTCTTACTAAAAGTTACAGTTCATTGTTTTATAGTGACAATTTTATGCGATATAGTATTGGTTCAAGATTTAAAATAGTTAATATCTTGATAAATTAGTCTGATTGGTATAAGGCGGCTTCATTTTATTCAAATCAAAAGTCAGTCAGTCATTCATAACTTAGAAACTGGTACATATATATGTACAGTGGCTCAAGTTGCGACCATCCATTAGCACGTACAGATGAAAATGTCAGGAAAAAACCCAGAGTAGTTGAGGTACTGACAGTATTATCGATAATAAGAAAGATTTAGCAACCAAGATACAACTCAGAAAAATATAAGTTAGTGAGATGAAAAAATTTCCAAGGAATTTAAAAACTTATGACCCAAGGGAAAGTAAAGAGGGAAAATACCTGCCCCATTCCTAACTGTTCTTAGCTATGCCATCCAAAGTCTATAACCATTGTTTAACAAGATTGAGTGTACTCCAACCGAGTAGTCTGCACCTGTCTACACGGATCAGTCCAAACGTCAGAGTACTCATGGACTGATCTGGACGTCCCCAGCTTTCCTCAAGTCTACTATTGCACCAGCCCTCCTCGGACGTCAGGGTAGTCGGTGAATAGGCACAAATGGAAAATGATGTTCATTGTCCCAAGTGTCTACGTGTTTTCAAAACGATAGAAGTGGTGTTAAAAAAAGATGATTTAGTAGGATATTTTATCAGTTCACAGACAAAAGATGTCTCTTTCTTGCTCCTATTTTTACCTACAGAACTACCATGAAAAATTGGATTGCTGTGTGACTGTTTCTTTTCATTCTCTATTTCTTCAGTAATAATACATGCTATAGACAATCAATGCGAGAAAATTCTCAGGATTTTCATAGGCCATTTCGAAATTATTTTTCATTCGAATATACTAGTTCTCAGTATGATCTATGATGGTTACTATTCTTAATTTGTCTTTTAAAATGGTTTTAGTCAGTAAGAAACCAATATATTTCCATCAAGATATCATCAATGTTCGGAAGCAAAATTGAGAAAAGTTTCTGACTAGAAATATTATCTTAAATTAGGAAAATGAACATTTCCAAAACAGTAAAACAATTTACTTTTGTCTCGTCGTTTCCTATATTCACTTGTTTGGAATCGACCCATTTAGTTAAAAGAGCAGACATTGTTTGTAAAGTTGAGTAATCAGATAGGTCTTGATCAGAACAATGTCTTTTCTTTATAGGAGATGCATATTCACTTGAATCAATGCATAAATCATTTGAACAATCCATACTTCTTAGGTTTGAAGAATAGTTTTTATGCGAAACTGCGTTTGATGTTACAGAACATGAAGTTGTGTTGGCTAATTCTTTTATTTGTTCAAGAAAAAAGGATTTCGTTACTGATGGTTTTGATAGTTTCATAGAAGGACTCGGTTGGCTACGTCTACGAATGCGAGAACGTTGAGTATAGACTAAATTGTTAAATCGCACTTCTTGTTCACAACGAGAAGAATCTTCAGAAAAAAATTCTGCAGCTACTGGTGGCAAATGAGAATGAATCGATCGTATATGCTCTACTTTATTTGAAACAGTAACTGCTGTAGCTTTGCATTCACGACGAGAACATCGCCAAAATACACGATCACCCATACCATCTCTTGATTTTGTAAATTTATATCCATTGATAACTAGACTTCTTTCACCTGAGGAAATTATGTAAAATCAACAACCAATTAAATCATAGGATTAATATCAAAAGTATGAATATACAGATAAGGTATCAGGAATCTTGTGAAGGGGAGAATTTTGATATTTAGTCCATTTGATTCACTACAATAGTATCTGAGATTTTATTACTTCAAAGCACTTTTGAATGACGCAATATATATAATAAGCTTTTATAGGTTAAATAACTAGAAGTACGTTTGCACAGCTTCAGTAAATGTCGTTGTCAAAGAGACTTGTTCCACAATGTTTCAATAGGTTTCTTTCATAGTTTGTATCTTTGTTTACAGTAAAAAATAAACAAACATTTTTTTCAAACGACTCACTTTCATCTATACAATCGACATCAATTAAATCCAAATAAACATCAGTATTTATTTAATATAGTTAAGTATTCGTATTTAAGAAAAGAATGTATCATTGGTATATTTTCCCACGTGACTGCTTCATATATTTTAATAACAAAGTAATTAGATATATTAAATTTGTCTATGAAAAACAATTTTTGTTTCAGCTGTTATAGCAACACATCTAAGAGGTATAATAGTCTTAAGACAATTCGAATTGAGCTATCATTTGTGCTTGTTCTTGTAGACACTGTAGGTAGGAATTATCAATCGTTTTGTTAAAAATTAATAAATGGGTAATAAGTTTTTTTTTTATTAGTTTTGACTAAATATTAATGTCAAGTGATTGAATGGTAGTCATAGAAGAATATCAACCGTATAAATATCTGTGAGATGTACGTTAGGAATTTGATAATACCCACTTATATAGGAAAATATTATGTTTAATTTGAATCTCATGGCCGATCCATTTTAACCTTATCACGTAGATGAATTTCAAGAATATAGTAGATAAGTTTATCAATGCTGAGTATTATATATTTGAAATAATAAAACGAATCTATAAATTAAAATAGTATAAATCAACATGATTAAAAGTGAAGTTATTTTCCATGTTAATTGGTGTGCGTAGAGTCTTTGATTTGCATACAAAGATTGCAAATTACATTTTGACCATAGTGAATAATACAAGACTTAGTAGCCTATACCTATATGTTTGTACCATGGGTAAAATTCCATAGCCTATTCAATAGTTTACCTAATCGGTAGATAATCTCAACTAAACTACATTTTTTTGGGGATATCAGCAATTTATTGTGTTTATTAATAAACGAAATCACATTTTGTGCGCGTTTATTATTAACTAACATTTTCTAAGTTTTTGTCTATTATATCCTCAAGTTGATTAGATGGAGTGTAGTCATTTAAATAAAGTGTAATTTTCTTCACGCTTTCCTAAAACTGTAGCAAAAGATTAAACAAAAGTCACCTAATAGAGGGACGTTACTTATATTTAAGTAATGAAAACTTTCAATCAAGAAATGCAAATAAACAGTTCATGTTACAGAATACATTTCTTTGCTACCTTAAATAATAATCTAAACTCAAACTTAAAACTGAATAGACTATAGTCTATATATGAACTGGATGAAAAGTGGTCGACTAGAACATGAAATAACATTTAATAGTAATGTCGAATAAATTAGCGAACAGTTATGTAAACAAATATCCTTGATCAATAAGTCGTGATAGAATTTCCAATTTAGCCCAATAGATTTTAAATATCAACTACCTCATCAAAGCTATATGCAAGTACCGAACGATTTCATTTTATGATCATCTAGTTTATACCTCAGACTGCAACTACAGACAAATATCTGAATAGCCAAATTACAAGTGAATGGATAACTAAATACAAATTCTTATAAATATAAACCGGTTCATAATAGCTGCAACAATATCTGTATTTTATAAATACAAGCCATTAGTAGTGAAATTAGATCTGATATTATAACACCTACTTAACATATGACAAGTGAAAAACCCACAGAACCTACCTTTACGTGTAACATCAAAACCTACACGAACTTTAATTAAATTCCATTGTCCCTCATTAGATTTATTCACAAGCTCAGTTGTAAAGTTTTGTTTCGACTCTTCTGTTGAACTTGACCGATAGTTTGGTTGCCTTTTTTCTTCATCATCGTGAATTTTTTTAGCCGAATGAGGATTAAGATTATTGCCCAGAGTATTATGCAATTGTCCTGTGGAACTCCCACCAATAATAGTTTCTTCAGCTTCTGTTCCTTCTAGATCGTACGTTAGCGTATGAAAGTTCTTAATAGACGTCGCATTCATATTACCGACTGACCTCCATAAAATATCAACATCTAACATTGTAAGATGAACAAGCACCCAACTTGCTTGTAAATTGATGGAAGTCACTAAACTTCCTGAGACTAACTACAAACAGGTTTGCGGTGTAAGTCTACGTCAGCTTTGATTTTCGTAGTCTATACGAGGTCGTCGAGTTTGTATATCAAGGTAACTGTTATTAAAAAAGTATGCTGTTGCTGTGCTTGCATGTGTGTAACACGCTCTTGATGCTTGTTAGTCATAGAAGAGACCATCTTGAAGTGCTACAATAACAAATGCTTTCGCTCTAACCCAACTAGCCAATCAATTCAATGCATATAGAACGTCTAATTGGTCAATCAGCTTAATGTATTGGAACTAATAGTAACAGAAGAGTGATGATTAATCCTAATCAATATCAAGGTCATTCAAGTCATCTCAATAGCAAATTTCATTGAATGACTAATCAACTGTAGACAATCATAAAATAAGAAATTCAGTTAAAGAGTGATGCCATATGTCAGCAAAGCAAATTTAAATAAAGGTCGGTTGTTCACATCTATATCCTGAAACTGTTCTAGCAACTAACCTTGATTGTAACAAGTTTTCAATAGCTTAGAATTTGCTTACGTGTTATTGATGGCAAAATTAAACTTGAAATAAGTAATCACGTTAACTTTTTAATTTTTCAGATAAAAATATTTTTTTGTTGTCAAATGATAGATTGGAAATATTATTTACTCGAAATGAAGGATCCATCGGCGAATGATCGTTTCAACAATTTTATCAGACTCTACAGTTATAAATCCATGAGTGATATTTTATAAAAGTTTAGAATATAATACTAAGTCTATAAAACAATGTAACAAGCTAAGAAACAATGATGATTATAACACCGTGTGCAGTTAGAACATTGTTTAACTGTGAATCTTGGCAAAGGAGAAGAAAAGGTACAGCTCAAAATAAGTACATAAGCAGACTAAATAAATTAACTGGCTATCGTTTCGCCTTCTGAAACACTACTCAAAATGTGCATAATAGGTTATGACGTGTATTGACATATTTTACTCTCAGATGATTAAGTTTGGAAAAAACGATTGCTGAGTTTCGAACCAATATATGATTAGTGGTCTACTCGTCATAAGTTCCAAATGTCTTGGGTAGGGTCCTGTAAAGAAGCATAATGGAGGTACGCTACGAAATCTTGGAAGACTTAAATTCTAACAACACTGGATACCAATGAAGTCTTTAGAGGCATTAGTTCATAATGGAGACTGTACTGATTAGCCTCCCATAACATCTCAAGTTAAAACTTATGATGAAACTGAATCATGGCCATAAGGAGTTGATGTGTCGAAAAGATACCTAAATTTGTTCTTTCTAATTATATTTGAAACTGTCTATTCTGTTCGCGTTCTCCATCCTTTGTAGTTTCAGTTGCTATGTTAATCCCACACAGCTTATTCTAGCTTCCCGACAAGCCAATTTATTCATTTGCCTTGAGTCATATTTTGACCTTGTCAATTATCCGCTTAGTAATCATATTAATCATATGAGCGATGTGAGTTCACGTCTGATCCTATTCATCACATATCCGTAACTTATTTTTGTTCGATTCACGCTTGGCTAAATTGAGTTGGCTCACTTATTTTCTTCCCTGCGCATCATTTAGTTTTGTTTCTCTCTGTCTCCTTGATTGTTTGTTCAGATCAACGATTGTATGAAATATACTCATTGGAATTTCATTCACGAATTCGACTTATTTAATTCCGTTATTCACTAACGCGATTCAATCCGATGATTATATACGAGGATTGGCGAAATGTTTATTTCGATAGCGATCAACAAATGATCGAATTGGAGTCAGATTCAGGGTCACAAAACCTTATTCACTTCTCTCCAACTCCTTTGTGCCTTGTTTCATACTACTTATTAATATTCAGTAAACAGTTGGATTCCTAGTAATTTCTACACGTATGTTGTAGCACAAGTTTTTAGTGCAGTATTCTAAAATATTTACAAATACTTATAGCACTTATTGCATTTTTTGTTATATTCACTTTCTCTCAACCCTTCTAACAGTTATTTTAAATTATGTATAGTCGTTTAACCCTTATTTATTGTTTGTTCTTGGTTCCTTTTTTGCTTGTTGATAAACTGTTATCAAGTTTAGACAGCAATCAGCTGTCATTTGCACTATCGTATGTTTTAATTATTCTTTATGTTATTCCAGGAAGCCTAATTTCATTCCAGTCTTTCAGACGCAGTCAACGCTACAGATGCCCCACAAGTAGAAATTTGTAACTAATTTATTGAAATTGTTCAATAAAGAACCACTTTTTAGAAAAGTCACTGTTTTGTGAACTTCACTTGTATGCAAATAAAATATAGAAGGTGGACGAGAAAATTTTGTCGACAAATTCATATAGTAGTTATGTAAAATCTATTCATATAAACTTAATTGTAATAATAATTTTTAGGTAAATCTAATGTGTTAAATGATAATCTAAGTAATAAGATTAACTAATGTGATTAATGTATATTTCAATAAAATTAAAATCCATTTTAAATAGTAATGACTTTAACATATTAGAGGACCTTTTATTGTAAATTGAAACAATAATACTTTTCCCAACTAGATCATCTGGAAGGGAATGCTGTTTACTTTCATATGCTGATTTAACAATAAAAATTTTTTAAAAATCTATCTAGTACTTGATGTTTGTATATTATCTCTACATGATCTGACTTATGAATTCAAATTTCAATAACGTTGGTTTTTATTGACCATTGAACATAAATGAATTCTGACTACTGAGGATAAATGGAAAGACTGATTAGTTTCAATAAAAAACTATGACTACTTACATGCATTTGTTAGTAGTGTAAGACATTGTTTATTTGAATTTTTTAGTGATTACAGAGTTAAATTAAGAAGTCCAGTTGGTACTCCATCATTTTCTCGTAAATAGATTGTGTTTTGTTCATTAGTTAACAATTTCATTAAATTGCGATCTTCTGACGACCAAGTACGGTACATCAATGCAAAACGCGAGGAAACCAGGCTAGTTTCCGACCTGGACGTGGATGTACGGATGACATTGTGGAATACAAAAGTACGTACCAACGCCCGAATACAGTGTTATTTCTTGTCTTTAAGATAACATTTGATACATATGGCATACAGGTTTTATAACATTATCTATCAGTAAATAGGCTTCTCAAGATGTATATCAACTTTATGAAGACTGAACACATCTGGTCAAATGAGAGCTTGTTGTCAACTGCCATCAAAATTTCCAACTCCGCCTGTAGCGCTTCCAGAGTTACTGCCGGTCCCAAGCCCGGGTAAAGGAGGAGGGTTTGGCATGGAGTTAGCGTCCGCATCCCGTAGAAAACTAACTCGCTAAAGAAACGCTTATCAGAAAAAATAATTCAAACCATTTTAACTATGCCCTGGGAGTTAGAAGGTCTTCATTTAGAAGAATTATGACGCTTCACGGTGAAAGCCGAGTTCCTTTGGAAGCCACGTGGCCGATGCCCCTTCTAGAAACCGGAGCAAAAATTTTTATGGGTACACGGAACGTTCGAACAATGTGGGAGACCGGGAAGACCAGTCAAATAACAACGGAAATGAGGAGATACAACTTGGCAGTACTGGGAAACAGCGAAACCCATTGGACCCAAGCTGGACAGAAAAGGCTAGCTACGGGAGATATACTGCTATACTCCGGTCATGAAGAGGAAAATGCTCCGCACACTCAGGGAGTTGCTCTTATGCTGTCCAAAGTAGCACGAAACGCACTTGTAGGATGGAAATCTCACGGATTCAGAATCATCAAAGCATCATTCAAAACAAAGGAGGGGAACACACTGAATATTATCCAATGTTATGCACCCACCAATCTCTTCATCCCTAGTTGGCTGGCATCCAACGAAAACTTGGGATGGGTTTAACAAAATCAGTTGGCTATACCAGCTTGCGTTACATGTGAAGTCGACTGAGTAGCTTTTTGCTCTGTTCTATTTTATGGATATGAAACCTGATTATTAAGAATGGAAGACGATTGTAGATTACTAGTATTTTATCACAAGTATCTTCGAAACATATCACATGTATCTCCGAACTATTGAGAGAATAAAGCTAAGGTTAGACTAAGAGTACAAGGCCAATTGGTTGGTAAAGATGTAAATCTTCATTAAATGAGGTGAATCGGACATGCATTACCTATGCCCAACCACTGCCTACATTGATGAACCACTTATCTTAAACTTCTTTTATTCCACGAACACGTTTCCTATTCTTAATTCTTTCTACTACCACTGATAACTGTAACTACTTTTTCTAAGAAGCGATTTCTCTTGTTAAATTTATTTCATTGTGCTGACATACTGTGTGAATTTCAATTGAAGCCTATGTACTAAGTTCTACATTGCGTATGACTGACTGATATAATCCAGAAAACGCAACTTCAAGTCTCACATTGAATAAATCACCTTCGGACTAGTGAGTCAAAATTACTTCTTACACCTGTTAACTCCCGTGAAGGAACATAGGCCACTCACCAGCACTCGCCATACAACCCTGTCCTGGGCAATCCTTTCCAGCTCCTTACAGTTGTTATTCATCCTTTCTATATCTGCTTTTATTTCCCGACGTAATGTGTTCTTTGGTCATCCTCTTTCTCGCCTTCCTTCAGGATTCCAAGTTAGGGCTTGTCTCGTGATGCAGTTTGACGATTTGCGTAGTGTATGTCCTATCCATTTCCATCGTCTTTTCCTAATTTCTTCTTCAGCTGGAAGCTGGTTTGTTCTCTCCCATAGTAGGCTGCTGCTGATGGTATCCGACCAATGGATGTTGAGTATCTTGCGTAGACAGCTATATATAAATACTTGCACCTTCTTGATGATGGTTGTTGTAGTTCTCCAAGTTTCAGCTCCGTACAGTAGAACTGCCTTGACATTCGTATTGAAGATTCTCACTTTGATATTGGTTGAAAGTTGTTTTGAGTTCCATATGTCCTTCAACTGTAGGAATGCTGTCCTTGTGTTACCAATCCTCGCCTTTACGTCTGCATCTGAACCTCCTTGTTCATCGATTATGCTTCTCAGGTACGTGAAAGATTCCACATCTTCCAGAGCTTCTCCATCAAATGTGATTTGGTTGATGTTATCCGTAATGTGTTTAAGAATTATAGTTTCTCCTTTGTGTTTATTGATGCCTACTGATGCGGAGACTGCTGCTACACTGGTTATCTTTACCTGCATATGTTTTTGTGTATGGGATAGGAGAAACAGGTCATCTATGAAGTCCATATCTTCTAGTTGATTAAAAGTTCTCCTTTGTTTTCCGTGATTCCCCTCACATGTGGATGTATTTTTTATGATCCAGTCAACCACGAGAAGAAAGAGAAAGTGCGAGTAAGCAGCCTTGTCAGACTTCATTCTTCCCACGGAATGCGTCTGTCAACCGTCCTTTGCGTACGACCTGCAGCGTAGTCTATCTTCAAAATTCCGTATGATGTTGATAATTTCCCCAGCCATTCGCACCATAATATCGAAGAAGGTCCCATCAAGACTGTCAAACATCGATACTTGAGGAATCCGAGCAGTCGATCTCGAAGTCGGACGTCTACTGAATCTTTCGTCCGGCTTAGCAACACTTTGCTGAAAACTTTTCGCCGGTACTAACATAGTGTGCCGCCTCTGTAGCTCTAACATTTGCTCAGATCTTTCTTTGGTGTCTTGGTGAGGTGTCCTTCTTTCCAGTCTACCGGCATTTGTTCTTCCTCGTGAATCCTCCTGAATAGAGCGTAGAACATGTCTGCAGTCATACCTATGCCTGGTTTTAGAGCTCCAGCTGGTATATTGCTGCCTTCTTGCTTTTGATTTGTCTGATGGCGATCCTGAGGGGTGGATTGACAACTATAGGAAGGTCTGTGTGTGTGTTGCTTCGATATCCGATAGATTCAATGGAGCTGGTCTATTCAAGAGTTCGTCAAAATATTCTACCCATCTGTTCCTGTCCTTGAATTTCAGTGATTGACTTGCCTGCTTTGTTGTATACTATGCTTTGTGGTATACTATATTTCCCTAACAGTTTCTTCGATATGTCATAAGGTTGTCTCATATTTCCTTCTCTTGCAACTTTTTATGCTATCGTTGCTATCCAGGTCTACGTCGAACACATATTTACACTTGTCGGCTGTAATGTCCCTTCTCACTTACTTGTTTGTGTCTATGTATTCGGCCGATGCCTTGATTTCCTCTGTTCTTCTTCAGATGTTTTTAATTGTTTCCTTCTTTTTTCTTCCTTCAGTCATGTTCAGGGTTTCCATGGAGATCCGTTTCTTATAATGATACTTCTTGCGACCCAGCACTTATTGACACTCTGAAATTGGTGCTACTTTGATTCCCTTCCAGTAGTCCTCTATAGTAGTTTCTTATTCTTTCAGTAGATCTTATAAGGTTTGAAACTTGAGAGAGCTATCTCAAATTCCTTGTTTTTCAATGTGTCGAAGGAAGGCTGTACTGAACGTCTTAAATGCTGTTTCTCCTGTTGTTCAGTGTATTTTAGCTTCAGTTTCATCTTGGCAACCACCAGGTGGTCATCTGAAGCTATGTCAGCTCCTCTCCTAGTTCTTATGTTCTCCGTTGACCTGAATTTATTTACTGATGCAAATATGATCTATCTGATTTTCCATCGTGTGATCCGGAGAGACCCATGTAACTTTGTATTTGCGTTTGTATGGGAATATTGTGCCACATAAAACCATTTTGTTGAATGCACATAGATTTGCAAATCTCCAACCATTTTCGTTTCTTCCTCCTAGTCCACGTCGTCCCATGACATCTTAATACCCGGTGTTGTCCGTTGTGACTGGCGTTTGGGTATCCCATAACGATGGTCAAGTACTTTCCTGAGAACTTCGCTGATCGATTTTAGCCTCTTATAAAACTGGGTTTTATCGTTGTCGTCGTCGCTATCATTGGTGGGTGCATGACAATGAATAATATTCATTGTGATATCCTCCTCTGCTTTAATGAGCCTGGATCCATGAGATTCCCATCCTATAAGTTATAGTGAGGTTAGACACAGGGTATTAGGTAATGATAGTAAATCATTTGGTGAGGTTGTAAATCTTTGTCGACTGAGATAGTTGGGCAATGTGTTTCATATACCTGAACACTGGTTACCAGGACAGCTCTGCAGACTAATAAAAGAAACTGGAATTAATAAGTCAAGTGTAAGTCAGACTATTTCGCAAAAAGGCGACACTCATCTGTTCGCAGTCCAGACGTTTAGAACGATGGGCGGAACATTTCACAGAACAGTTCAGCTGGCCTTCAGCTACTCTACAACTACCCTCCATTCCCAGACAGTGTGAATGGAACATTGAAGTAGGTCTCCCAAATCTAGCAGAAGTTCAAAAGGTTATAGCTAATCTGAAACGAGGAAGGGCAGCTGGTCCAGATGGATTGGCTCCAGAGGTCTATAAGGATGGTGGTCCAATTTCAGTGATTGATTAGGTTGACTAATATTTAAGCTAAGATCTGGGAGTTGGACGTAATTCCATCTGACTGGCCACAATCACTGATCGTCCGAATTTATAGGAGAGGGTCAAAATCATTCTGTGACAACCATAGAGGAATTTGTTTAACTAATATATGGTATCTAAAATACTAGCCTCGATAGTTATCGGACGCCTAACTAAGACTCGCGAACTGCAAACACGAGAGAATCAAGCTGGCTTCAAAGCTGGTCGTGGCTGCATCGACCACATATTCACCATTCTTCAGGATCTAGAACACAGGCATACATATCGGCGTCCGACAATGGTGGTCTTTCTTGACTTGAAAGCAGCATTTGACTCGGTAGAGTGCGAGATTCTGTGGCAGTGTCTGTCATTGAAAGGTGTACCTCAGAAGTGCATAAACCTTGTGAAGACTCTTTACTCGAACACTGATAGTGGAATGAGAGCTCATGGCGAACTGTCATCTGCTTTTGCAACCTCAAGTGGTGTCCGTCAAGGCTGTCCACTTTCTCCATTTTTGTTTAATTTCATCATAGACCTACTGATGGAAATAACATTCTCGTCGATTGAATTCTCGGGTATTGATCTCCTTCCAGGAGGTCCACTTATCGACATAGAATACGCGGATGACATAGTTCTGTTTGGTAAAGACGCTGATAAAATGCAGTCTTCTGATAGCACTAAGCAGAAAATGCCAGAATGATTGGAATGCGCTTCTCTCCCTCTAAGTGCAAGTTGTTGCTTCAGGACTGGTCTGCGTCAACACCTGAACTAAGTATAGAGAGTGAAGTAGTCGAACACGTTGACAAATTCACCTATGTTGGAAGTCTGATCAGCCCTAATGGGTTGGTGTCTGACGAAATCTCAGCACGGATTCGAAAAGCTCGTTTGGCTTTTGCCAACTTACGTCAACCACGGAGAAGGCGAGATATCCGTCTATCAATAAAAGGACGAGTATACTGCGCGGCAGTTCGTTCTGTTTTAATGTATGGCTACGAAACATGGCCACTAAGAGTCGAAGATACCTGTAAGCTACTAGTATTTGACGACAGATGCCTTAGAACTATTGCTGGCATCTGCTGGGATCACGGGTAAGTAATAGTGAGGTTAGACACAGAGTATTAGGGAATGATGGTTAATCCTTTGATGAGGTTGTGAATCTCCATCGACTGAGATGGTTGGGTGACGTGTTACGTATGCGTGAACACTGATTATCACGATGTGCAATGCCAACCGGTGTTGGAGATGGTTAGAATAAAGTTAGGTGCGGCCAAACCAAAACGTGGCATCAGTGCTTGAAGTCACTAACTTGTGGTCTGTGTCATGTTGGTAGATGCAGACTAATTGGTTGGAGTTCGCGTGACTATCGTAACCAATGGTTGGAGACTGTTGGTGACATGGCTCATAATCGATCACAATTGTGTAAAAGTATACACTCTCCGTCTTCCTTTAAACTAAGAGATTAAAATCGCTTCATATCTTTCTTTCTATGTACTAAATCTTTCTTCCTGTACTATGTTCTTATATGCAATCTTTCTTTTATATATTACCATCATTGAATTAACTACTTCTATGAATCCGGTGTTCATCTTGTTGTGCTAATGAGGTATGGCAACTTGGACCGATGCATATATGTGCCTGGTCCTATGTTGTAGCTGACTGACTGACATCCTATGAATGCTTTACATGCTTCTTTGGATAACATAAGAACAACTCCCTGAGCGTGTGGATCAGTTTCTTCTTCGTAACGCGAGCACAGCAACATCTCTCCCAAATCTATCCGGGCTCTGGACCGGCAGTTGCGTTAGAAAAACTACAGGCGGAGTTTGACATAATCAGCCAGACATAAAATTAATAAAAGGCTAATTTTTAGTGGTTAATTGTCTTATGATAGCTCTGTATCTTTGAGGAAGTATCACTTTCACATAAAGCGGTAATTTCTTATTTAAACCACTCAAATTTCATCTAGAATGCAGATGGGAATCTCATCTTAATTACATCAGTTTCAGAAGTCGCGCAAAATGTTATAAGTTTGCCTTCATAATGAAAGTCGAATACATAGACTTGTAGTTGGCGAATAAATTATATTATTCCCACACAAAATTCATGAAATTAAGGTCTTACAAATAATGTTTCCGTTCATCACCAATTATATAGAGATAAAACAGCACAGACTTGAATTGTATTCAAGAAAGTCGATAATATCTAGTTTGGACAGATTTTTTCAAGACAATCGAATATACCATATTACGTGGGTGAAGTGAATTATAAAACGATTCGAAAGACATGAGAGTAGGAGAAAAATCAGCTTAGTCATTATCCATTTTTTCGATGTTTCAATCAATTAATAAATAGCGATTAACTGTTTGCATTACGTATCGTAACAAACTGCAGTAGAAAAATTGTAATAATATTAATGGTAATGGTAATAATAATAATAATAATAATAATAATAATAATAATAATAATAATAATAAACTTCTGAGCAGAGAAAATAAAGAGAAAGACTAACAGAAATTCGATAACTAAAAATATTAGCTATAGAATAAAACAGTTTTCGTTCAAATGAATAGTATGTCGTAGAAAATAAAATACTGATTTTTATGGCAAGTTTCATGTCAAATTTACAGTAATGAGAAATAAGTAGCTGCAATCAACAAGATAAACGCAGGGATTGATTATTAATCTATTTTGATATTGAGATTATAAAATGAAGTGAAATAATGAGGTTGTTAGTGATGTACATGTGTGGTGGGGGGACAAGAGGGTAGTAATTGTGACGATACAAGCATCAGCAAAAAGTAAACCAATAAAACTAATAACGTCTTTTCAAATTAATTGTTCCCGTTTAAATGCACGTCTAATACACCTTGGACATGTTTCCGGATTCGGGGAATGTAAACATGCACGATGAAAACAAGCTGAACAACCGGAACATATTGTGGTATTTACTTGACCGAATGGAAAAAGAATGTGACCAGATTTACATATTTCACAAATAAAGCCACAAGCTAAACATCGTTTACATATTGATATATGCTCTACTAATGGTAAGAGTAGTGCACGTAAAGTTATTGATAATTTTCCATCATGTACAGAGTGTAAATCAGCCATACTCCATAAATCTGGTGTTTCGAACCAATGACTTGGTATAGAAGTAAAGTCCACTAATTGCTGAGCTAAAACCGAATACAGAAAAAAAAGTAAAATATTAATCATTACTTGTTCTCTGCTTTTTAATGGTACGCTTACTGAGATCAATCTGTGATGATGAATGCAACCTACAAATTGAACCGATCTCTACAAAACCTTTTCACTTAGAAAATAATATTACTTACTTACTCCTGTTACCCCTCGTAGAGGGAGCAAAGGGCGTCGATCAGGATTCTCCAACCAACTCTTTCCTGGACTCTCCTTTTCAGTCGTTTTCGAGTGTTATACATTCCTCTTAGGTTTGCTTCCTATTCTCGGCGTAATGTGTTTATTAGTTAGAGTTTGCCACGTGATGCAAGAGCTAGCTACCAATAACTGTAAAGCTTATTATTATAATGGGACATGTTATTCTATGTTATAGATAGGGTGGTAAGAATAATAATTATGTGCGGTAAGACCGAAATTGTTGAACTTTTAAATAGTCATCAGCTTTACCTGTGAAAGTGCTTCAAAGTCAAATTGTAATCACATAATATAAGATAGTGAACAAATATACAACGAAAATTATTTTGTCTAGCTACAACAACAACCAACCTGTTTGACACTGTTGAATAAATGGTAGCATCAAATTCCCTTGTTTACGTAAAGTCAAACAATTCACAAGATTAGACTGACGGTTTAAGACTTGTTTGTTAAAATCGATTGTTCTTAATAAAGGTTGATTATGCAACTGACGAAGTCGATCACGTGCAAAATTACTGACTGATAACATACGAAAATCCCAACAGGTCACTAAATTACCAGGAAGAGTCATAAGTGTATTCGAATGACAAACACAACAAAAGTAGCGACCAAAAAATTCGCAAAAGCGCATTCTTTTAAGATATCCTGAAGAAAAATACGGACAGAACAAAACAGTAAGCAATTATAAATAATAACGAAACTCTATAGTTACATCAATATTCTGCTTAAAAATACTGAGAATTAGGAAAACTACTGCAGAGTAAAGACACTAATGCAGGCCACCAAGATGTTTTTATTATTGATTGGTATTACTCAAGGATCTACAGTTATTTCGTTTCAAATTGGGGTTAAACAGTGTGGAACCTCAAATCTATAAATGATTAGATTTGTTAACTCTTTGTTTGGGTGAAAATTTTACTACAGTTCACTTAATGAATCAGCAAATAATAACTTATGCTTTCCGACAGAATACAGATATCATCACTATCATTTAACACTGACCTACGTGAACTTATATGTATCAGTCAGTCAGACATAAGCAACAGAGAACGCAGAGCATATGTGTACTGGTTCAGATTGTCAAAGCGTATCAGCACAAATGTCATGGTAGTAGAAGTGTAATGAACGAAGACTTGGGCAGGAGAAACCAGTTATATGTGCGAAATTAATGATTTTGTAAAATATGTAAACTATGCATCAAATACACTATTTGCATATCTTTCATGGACTTTCTCTCACGAACTTCATCGTTCTTCCATTCCTGTTGTTATTTCGATTTCTCTCAGTTTACCTTTCTCCTCTTTTCATTTTCCTCTTCAGTGAGTATTCTACTTCCAATACCTGATACATACCACTTACATCTGTCCGTATAGGTAGTACACATCACGGAAGTACCACAAAATGATTCTTGTAATGTAAGTCAATCACAAAATACAAGCACATATACTCGAGTTTGGGTTACACTTTTGATGTAAGGGTTACTGATGCTATCAGCCTGTTAAAGCCAAAATAGGTGTGAGGATAAAACCTTCGACTTAAAGAGTTAAAGACAAACGCTTGAACTATCAAATCACTCCAACTAGCTATTAATTCTCACAATTTGATCTGTCAAAACATTCCAGGTACATAGAAAATTTTATTCTTTTTTTGTTTCGGTATATGACGGCTGAAAAGCTTGAACTGAACCAGGCTAAACGATAATCCGATTAGTACAACTTGTCAATGATCTACATGAAAGATATACATGCAGATATTTGTATTGTTCGTTGGCACATTTAACAGTCCTCAGAATAGCTCAGTGTTCATGATGGACTTATCACTATCAAAGTATAGAATAAACACTATTTAAGGAAAATGAAAAGAAAGCACATTTATTTCTTGAATATTACTAATCAACAACTGAGGAAGAACTTACGAGTTTCAATGAAGGCACCACAACCAGCGCATCGGTTATTTTGACTGACAAGAACTCCTTTACGTCTATGTGTAGAAAAATGACCAAATGAAAAAGACATTCAATAAAAATGATAACTATTCTATTTAAATATCATTAATGTAGTGAAGTTTAACATTTTCAAAGCATACTCCCTAGTATTAAAAGGAAAAATATGACTAAATACAACTAAATGTTTGAACACTTATGATAAAGAGTTACTTATGTCTTAGGTGTATCAATCTATTCAAAGAGAGTTCAAATGCTAATATAGTCAGATTGAACTATGTGTGAGACAATTCTCTGAATGGTTTTCTAAACAACCAAATGGAAAGAAATTATGTATACTTGGAAGTATAGATTTGAGGTGTTTTCCAGACAAGAAGACATCATGTTTCTTCATTGATAACTTTTCCAATACAAAGTAACCTTAGTATTGGTTTCAAAAAGAAGTTGTGACTACTGTGTGGAAAATCTGTTGGCATGAGTAACAAACACGTTACATAAATAGTACTGAAATACTTGATGATGAAAATAACCCTAACCCACTTGTCAGATAACCAGTACAAGTTATATATCAATAGTTTGAAACTAATTTTTCTTTTATCTTCAACTTTTATAATATAAAGGTGATCTAAAGCACTTTTTCCCTGAATAACTCTTCAATTACATACAGCAAACATAAACATTGAAATAAAACGATACTTACTTAGATTTTTGGATAGGTGGATTGATCAATAATCCATATGGTAAAGGTGTACAGCCAAACGCTGATGACAGTGACAATGATGATGTAGGATAGTCTTGATTATCGGATCCCATTTTACTCGATAATTGAAAATCTTTATTTAAAGAAATTAACGACCTATTGTTAGCATGAATATCATTGTTATTACTATTATCATTCTTTGAAAGTGTATCTATGATAATAGTTGAATTATTACTTAATTTATTTATGGTAGGTTCTGAAAGCGTTGTTGAATGATTAGCAAATGAACTAGATGAGGTTAACACTGAAGCGGAATAATCAGATTGTGAGATTGATTTCATAGCTCTTTTTGAATTACTTGAATGAGATAATGAAGTAAAATGATGAAATGTGTTGCACCTTCTACAAAGATTTTTAAAATGGAATAATAAAAGAGGAAACAGGTTAAACACAACAATTGCAACTATGAATATGTATGCTAAATAGCTAAAAGTAGAACACGTGTAACTCATTAACCATATATGTGTCTAGTTATTTGACTTCGAAACATACTGTTTTGGTAGGAGCTAGTGATACTTACTGGGTATTCAAACTAAATGGAATGAAGTCAAATTCGGACGTGTGACTTATGTTATGGGTTTACATAACCATATGTAGATGTTGCGCCTGAAATGGTGAACACTTGCGGCAATGACTTCCTGATCTATCATCTTATTTATTATTTATTTATTTGAACACATAAACATTGGTATAAAGGGGCGCAAAATACATATGCGTCATACAATAACAATGAGGTTGTGAAGAGATAGAGAATAGAGGGTGAGTATAATATAAGAGCAACAATCAACAGAAATTAGTGTATTAGAGTGAAGTAATAATAATAATAATAATAATAATAATAATAATAATAATAATAATAATAATAATAAAGGGAGAGAAGCAGTTCCAGTTAAGAAAAAACAATCATGAAGGATTCGTTATGTTGAAGAAATGAGTAGGACTTCTCTGGTAGTGGCTGTGTACGCGAGGCCTAGTGAGGAAAAAAGACTCTCTACCCTCGGCCGTACCAGGGCATTTTTGGGGCATGACCTATTGGCTCCTAAAAACTCAGGATTCTTGAATTAGAAGATAGGAATGTCAAATGTTCGCTTTCAAGGTTAATTTAGCGCTACAGAAGTCAAAGACCGTTGATTTGGTTATGAACGATCTTTGGATTTTAATGGCTTCTAGAAAATATACTTATATTAGTTAATAACTTCAGTGTTTGATCAATCAAACTGAGAAATAATACAAATGAATGACTACCGAGATTTTCTAAAAGAGATGGATTGCATGAGAACAATCGGGGGCACGTTTCAGTCTCCTAGAATTTTCTAAAGAACATTTATAGGATGTAATACCACACAGAAGAATTTATCTTATGGATTTCATTATTATTTTAAAACAATTCGAAAAAGTGGATAATAGTGTTTCTATTGGATAATATTTTAAATCAACCAAACAAAATAAGTTTCTGAATCATCAAGGTGACATCACTTGTAACTGGATAACAAATCGATTTATTGACAAATACTGGAAACCAAACGTCGAAGCATTAGCTGTTGTTATCATTTATAAACGAACAGAAACCTACAATGTTGTAATCGGATTATCGTTTAAAATATAGTTGGTTATCCAATGTTAAATACATGGAGAAGAAATCTTGTGATTTAAAGGTTAGTTGTTTATTAGCCTTTGTAAATCAGATTTTTTGAGAAAATCCAATCTCAAGTTTTCATTACGACACTCAATTACAAAGATCCAAATCTTTGAATGAGCCTAAATTTATTTAAAATAATAAATATGCCTTAATGCTGAGTGATAATAAACGCGGTAGATAGGTGGTGGGCAAGATCGTTAAAAAACTGTTCTCAAAATATTTGAAGACAAGTAAGAACGGTACAACGTAGCGATATATAAAATTTAGAAACTGAATCATATTAATTTGCGGATACGTTCTAATTTGGCATGGTATATTATAGTATTCATTTAGTAAGTGTTATTCCAAGTCCATCTCAGCATATATATATATATATATATATATATATATATATATATATATATATATATATATATATAAGGACACCTTTGGGTCACAATTTAGAATATTAGCTAAATGAACACACACAGAGGTCACTAAATTTCGCAAAATACAATATGGAGAAACAAATACGTACCCCTGAGAATTGAGTTGTATTGAATTACTAGATGTACTTGATAGCCGATTATTTTTGGAAAAGTTTTGAAATTTAGTATCATAATTAAACCTCGTTGATCTTGGCGATTCGATAAACTGCTGATTTAAACGAACCCAGTTAATATCACAAGTTTTGAGAAGTAGTTCTTGTAATTTTAAAAATTTAAACAAAATCATTTCTTGTTTTTCGTTTTGAGCAGTTTCTTGTATACACGTATTGACTAGTGAAACTGCCAGTCCCGTCGCGCTATCTACACAATGCTCGCAGTAATCTGTTTCTCTAGATTGACTATGCAATGTTGAATTGATTAGTGGATTACGTAAATTTTGATCACTAACATCCACCAAAGTCATATGTGACGAGAGTAGACTTGAAGGTAAAGTATTCGATTTGTGAACCTTTAAAAAATTTTAATGGTCCAACTTATTCAACGTAAAGGATGTTTACATACATTCAAATATTTATTTATTATTATTGTTAACTTGTACACAGAACAAAACAAGAAAAATTAGACATGTTTGAAGATTTATGGTTAACTAAGTGTTAATATAATTATGAAAGGAAAAAGTAGCGAAAAAATGTTAAATTTCGATTAACGATTATGATGGAATATGAATTACAATAGTGAGTTAGGTATTTTATTTCAACTTTATGGAACTCAATTACCATATGTAGGAGTTCGTGTACTCAGTCGCACTTTGAGCATGTATAAAGGCTATTAATACTATTACTACTTCAGAAAGACATTCATCTCTTTTTACGAAGTGAATGACTAGCCTATTTCACAACTAAGGATACACAATTTAAAATACGATGGTGTAGATTGGGCGTTTGTCAATGTTATATTGTAAATAGTAATTATATCTGTTATAATCTTTTTTCTTACGATATGACCCAGCTATACCTATTGCTTAATATTCTTGGACACCAATCATTCGGCAAGACCCCAAATCAGAACACGGTTGAACAGGAAAGAGATTATATTCCAAATAACAAGGTTAGATGGGAGTAAGATGCAAGTAAGAAGCACAATAGAGAAAATGTTAGTATATTTATAGTTTTTACATGAGAAGATCCTAGAGTATTCTACAACTATCGACTAGTGCTGATTGGTTAAGAATTAGCCAATCAGCGTGCAGCAAAGCAATCATGAATTCAGCAAGCTTTAATTCGGTCTATGTCCCGCTAACAATATCAGATAAATTTTCCTAACTAAAATATATCTATCGCCTCTTTATAACTAGTTTAAAATGAAATTCATTAGCAATAATTTCATGGTTTGGTAGTGAGAGAGATAAGAAAGTAGTACATGTATGTGAAACAAGGTTTTACCTGAACACATATAAAATGCACAATGCAACATTTGAAAGTAAAATTAATGTAAAATCACTTCAGACTTAACAATTTAAACAGGCATCTCTATCTTTAAAAAAACTACTACAAACTATAACATAAATAATAATTGTGAATAATTAAATTATTCACTAATACAAAATGATAATTTTACCTGAAAGTCAGTAGGAATTTGTAAAGATTTGTCCTTATTTTTTTCGCCATACACAGAATCTAAAAACTCACAATTTTCCATATCATAAATTTCTTCTATTTGTCCAATTAAAAATTCACATATTTCAAAGTACGCTACTTCTCGAACTAAATGTTTTACAAAAGCGGAACGACCTGGAAGAAGTAGATGTTTAGTATTAATTTGATCGTCTATAAAAGAATTTGAAGGTGAATGTGATTTGGAGTGAGAACCTTTGGAAATGAAACAAAGAGTATTAATTGTATAAATTAGGGATGCACTTAGAATTCAATAAACAGAATAATGTAATGCAAATAATACAATGAGAAAATTAAGATTTTCCAATTACTCAAAAGCTATTTATTTCATCAAAGTAAGAATTTAATTCATTTCTAACTACTAACGATTCGAATAGAATAAATAAAAATGTAATCGTGAAGAAACTGAATACTAAAAGTTACACTCATTTTCTAGTATATCAAATGTAAAAATTAACGTGATTATCAGTCATACAATGTGAAACTACATGGATGTTTACTAATCACCACCAACAGGACATAAATAAAATGGACTACACAAGATGGAACAATAACACTGTGAAAAAATAAAAAAGGTCAAGCCTATGCCTTATGTGGGGTAGGTAAGTAAGTAAGTAATTAAGTAAGAACAAATATTTTATTCAACAAGGCAGGAGTTTACTGAAAAATACAACACTTTTCTTTAAATTAGAGTTTCCTCTTTCACTTACGAAGTGTGGTGGAAAAATACATAAAAGGATCCCAACTAGTTTTTTATTTAAAACACATATGATAGCAACGAGTCACTTAGTTGTTTGATCAGTAGGAACACAACCAAGAAATGATGAGCTGACAGATACCGGTTTAAAACCACTTTTTTATTCATCAGTACCACATCGTAAACACGTCGGTTTCCCGCGTTTTCCACCCAGTTCTGGTGTCCGTAAATAATAGGCACTGAGAAATTCTCCCGAAATGAGACTTCTTAGATATGTTCGAATCACAGGACCCAGTGTTTTAAAGTGAAGACCCCAATCGAATTATCACACTACTGAACACACATTGCTGGACCCCGGAGCTGTTTACATGGTATTATTATCGGAAGTGAGCAGCTGTGTGAAAATGAAGTATATGCATCAACAATTGCAGTCATTGAAGATTCTCAACCCCTATCAACTTGGTTTTCATAATTAATGCAACTCGATAATTAGGATCAAGCTTATACAACTGGATAAGAGCTGTCTCTTTAATATGAGTAAAATCAAGTGATGCTATCCAGGTTCCAAACCAAAATAAATGCAGTGGGGTTTCGAAATTCAACTTAGTGATTGAAAGATAAGCGATGTAATTACTAAGTCATCACTTCGTCTTATCATTGTAGATTCATCAGTAATAAAGTGACGTCACATATACTGGAAAAGTCACTGCTAATCAGAATACGCGTAGTTTACTAGTGCTATATAGCAACAAAAAATCTTTTTGACAACTGTAAGGTAGACTGTAGACGAATATTAATACAATTCTTATATTCTTGTTATGTTCATATTATTTGGTTTCTTAATAATTAATGGTTATTTTCATTAGCGCGATATTTTTGTTAGAATATTTGGCAATATGATACCATTTTTGTTTTCTATCACACTTCGCATCCATATTAACATTACCTAGGAAAACTTTTACTTCATTTGAAGAATTTGAATTGATTTTTGACTGAATGTCAGGAGTAATTCGGTAATTAACTTCGCTTAATTCCTCTTCATCATCTGTTTGACCATCTCCCGATGAACGTGACTCAACTGGAATGTTTGTGTTTGTAAATGGTCTTGTGTTTAACCAATCACAAGATACAAATGAATTTTTCAGACCATTCGTTTGCTGTGAATAACCTACAGAAGTTTGCTTCAAGCATCTTAAATGCTCCCTATTAGAAAAAAGAAAATAAAAAAGTTAGCACGTTAGTTGGAGTTGTTTGTTTGATTGTTAGTTGAATAGATTTAAAAAGTCTCGTTATTGTCACATGAGCTCCTTATATTTTTCGATAGTTAGTGGTTAATTCCTGAACGTATGAATCGGTTTATTAAAGTTCGTTAATTATGTCACACTGTTTCAGTGAGACTGAGTCGGACTTAAACCTAATGTACACTGAAAATACAACAGCCGTTCCAAATGGATTCTGAGTAACATCGGTTAACCTTTGTGCAAATAATATTTTCTTTCTAAATGAAACATTTATGAGCTCGTTAATTTTACTGAGCTGAATTCCTGGATTCTTTCAACAAACCGGTTTCATGCCTAAATGAGTAGCTGCAAGATTGGCTATAGAGATTCGACATTCTATTTTATGAGTAGTCGGTTGGTAGGACCTCCTGAGTACAAAACTTCACTGAATTAAAGCCATATTTTGTTGAAAAGTCTAATATGGAATAGGACTGTTAGCTACCCCTAAACACAATCAAATTTCTAGGGTACAAAAAATGAGCAGAGAGATGTAACAATTTAGATATCGTATAGGAAGGAGTCGGTTCAATTCCCAACAGTTCGTAACAATACCTGAAAGATTGGAAAATTAAAAAATAAATAAAACATGTTGAATAGTGAGAGATATAAGTAAAAGGAGACAAATAAAGGAAAAACAATAAATCACTAAGCTCTACAGGTGAGTAAAAAGTGAATATATTGTAATCGATGATAGTCTTTTTTACATTTAGGTGAAGAACACAGACCAAATATTCTTAACCTGATTCCAACACATGAGATAACCCCCGTCTATGATGAAGACAATATGGTGGGATAGAATTACATCTAACAGTAGAACCCTGATTGATTGAAGAGTAAATGACCTATTAAATTTATTCCCTTCAATCGCTTATGACACCCAATTGTTTACTTTTCGCGCTAAGAGTTTGTATAGAAACATGTTATTTTAGAAGATGTAAAAACCTGTTATTCTGGTCAACAATCTTGTATTTGGTATTATTTTATACAGGCGTTTACACCGATAACCTAGTGGAAGAGAGTGGTTAGTGTGAGACATCTGTCTGTGTATTGATGTTTAAAGATTTGGTAGTAGGTGAAGACCGAATCGATGGACCACGCTTTAAGTCTTAAACCAACCCAGCTGCCTTCGGCTTCAGCTTGGCATCAAATGACTATAGGGTAGTGAAAATTCCAGACCGTTAGTTAGTGTGGTGAATAACTGACGCATTTACTATACAATTACACCTTTTATGTTGTTTAAATATATCATAACAATACAATACAATTTCATACTGCATACTTCAAATTTGAGTTCTTGCTTGAATCTTGTCGAAATTCTAGACTTGTAATTAGTAGTATTTCGTTATCTGATTTCAAATTCACACCTGGAGTCGCAGTACATAGGGATTCAAGTAACTTGGGGTAATTGTCCATTAATTTGTCCCTGAGAGAAGTGGAGGATTGTTTAGAATGTTTTGATGCTTGGTGTATGTCATATAACTTTACGGAAGATAGCATTGCATACTAATTTATTACCGCTATTGATAGAAAAGCCTATAGTTTGTTAAAAAAATTTGGCACATTCTGGTAAACCTACCCTACTTCCGTTCAACAAACTTACGAGAGTACCAACCGCTCATTTTCATGTCGAACCGTTTGAAATACATGACAGCACATTTCAACAAATTAGTTCGTGCACCAAAACAGACTATTAAGGATTTCATAATACAGCTTCGGATACAAGCTTCTAAGTGCAATTTCGGTGAACAGCTGCACATCAGATTTCGTGACCGCCTGATTGCTGGTATAAATAATTCTAAACTACAGAATATTATACAAATCCTTTTCGGTGCCTTTCAGGCAGACAAAGACCTCTATTTTACTTATGAAGATTTTAATAATGATCCTCGTGATGCTATCACGAAAGATCATGGTGCCTTCTTATCGAATGTGAAAAAATCTACCATACTGCAGAAACCTCAGACAGCAAAAGTCCCATTCAGACATGTAAATCAATCGACAGTCAGCCAGTCAGCTACAACTTAGGACCAGACACATATATGCATCGGTCCAAGTTGCCATACCTCATTAGCACAACAAGATGAACACCGGATTCATAGAAGTAGTTAATTCAATGATGGTAATATATAAAAGAAAGATTGCATATAAGAACATAGTACAGCAAGAAAGATATGAAGCGATTTTAACCTCTTAGTTTAAAAGAAGACAGAGAGTGTATACACTTACACGATTGTGATCGATTCTGAGCCATGTCACCAACAGTCTCCAACCATTGATTACGATAGTCACGCGAACCCCAACCAATTAGTCTGCATCTACCAACATGACACAGACCACAAGTTAGTGACTTCAAGTACTGATAACACGTTTTGGTTTGGCCGCCCCTAACTTTCTTCCAACCATCCCCAACACCGGTTGGCATTGCACATCGTGATAATCAGTGTTCAGGCATACGTAATACGTGGCCCAACCATCTCAGTCGATGAAGATTAACAACCTCATCAACTGATTTACCATCATTCCCTAATACCCTGCGTCTAACCTCACTATTACTTACCCGTGATCCCAGCAGATGCCAGCAATAGTTCTAAGACATCTGTCGTCAAATACTAGTAGCTTACAGGTATCTTCGACTCTTAGTGGCCATGTTTCGTAGCCGTACATTAAAACAGAACGAACTGCCGCGCAGTATACTCGTCCTTTTATTGATAGACGGATATCTCGCCTTCTCCGTGGTTGACGTAAGTTGGCAAAAGCCAAACGAGCTTTTCGAATCCGTGCTGAGATTTCGTCAGACACCAACCCATTAGGGCTGATCAGACTTCCAACATAAGTGAATTTATCAATGTGTTCGACTACTTCACTCCCTATCCTTAGTTCAGGTGTTGACGCAGACCAGTCGTGAAGCAACAACTTGCACTTAGAGGGAGAGAAGTGCATTCCAATCATTCTGGCATTTTCTGCTTAGTGCTACCAGAAGACTGCATTTTATCAGCGTCTTTACCAAACAGGACTATGTCATCTGCGTATTCTAAGTCGATAAGTGGACCTCCTGGAAGGAGATCAATACCCGAGAATTCAATCGACGAGAATGTTGTTTCCATCAGTAGGTCTATGATGAAATTAAACAAAAATGGAGAAAGTGGACAGCCTTGACGGACACCACTTGAGGTTGCAAAAGCAGATGACAGTTCGCCATGAGCTCTCACTCCACTAGCAGTGTTCGAGTAAAGAGTCTTCACAAGGTTTATGTACTTCTGAGGTACACCTTTCAATGACAGACACTGCCACAGAATCTCGCACTCTACCGAGTCAAATGCTGCTTTCAAGTCAAGAAAGACCACCATTGTCGGACGCCGATATGTATGCCTGTGTTCTAGATCCTGAAGAATGGTGAATATGTGGTCGATGCAGCCACGACCAGCTTTGAAGCCAGCTTGATTCTCTCGTGTTTGCAGTTCGCGAGTCTTAGTTAGGCGTCCGATAACTATCGAGGCTAGTATTTCAGATACCATATATTAGTTAAACTAATCCCTCTTTGATTGTCACAGAATGATTTTGACCCTCTCCTATATATTCGGACGATCAGTGATTGTGGCCAGTCAGATGGAATTACGTCCAACTCCCAAATCTTAGCTAAAATATTAGTCAACCTAATCAATCACTGAAATTGGACCACCATCCTTATAGACCTCTGGAGCCAATCCATCAGGACCAACTGCCCTTTCTCCTTTCAGATTAGCTATAACCTTTTGAACTTCTGCTAGATTTGGGAGACCTACTTCAATGTTCCATTCACACTGTCTGGGAATGGAGGGTAGTTGTGGAGTAGCTGAAGGCCAGCTGAACTGTTCTCTGAAATGTTCCGCCCATCGTTCTAAACGTCTGGACTGCGAGCAGATGAGTGTCGCCTTTTTGCGAAATAGTCTGACTCACACTTGACTTATTAATTCCAGTTTCTTTTATTAGTCTGCAGAGCTGTCTTGTGTTACCTATAGCCACTGCCTTTTCCATCTCTTTTGCTTTCGTTGCCCACCACTGCTCACGGTCGTTCCTCAGACTTTTTCTTAACCTAGATCTGATTTGTTTTCGCTCTTCATCGTGTTCAGAGCCTGATGGGATGAGTTTACGAGAATCCATCAATGCAATAGACCTTGAGGAAATCCATTGGTTCTTTGTAACCCTGTGTTTTAAATCACTGAGAGATGTCACTGCTGTTTCCACAGCTGTTTGTATAGCTTTCCAAGCAACATCTGGGTCAGCCTCGTTTTCAGAACTACCTCATTGTGACCTCAATTGTTCCTGGAACCTACTTTTGGTTTTCTCGCTACTCAATTCAGTTCTAATGGGTCTTTTACTGTGGCTTTTTTTGCGTCCAGTGAGGCGCAAGCAGATGCGTGCCCGTATTGGGGCTTGGTCGGAGTCCAAGCAGGTACTCCAGAATGAGCGGCAATCTTCTATCGACCCTCTGATGGCAGTATGATCTATTTGAATCGGTTTGGTGTAGAGGGTCACCATGTTAGACGATGTCTCTATTTATGCTTAGAATTTGTGTTTGCTAAAAATAAACGATTGTCTGAGCACAGTTGCAGCAGACGATCACCATCATCTGTTCGCTCTGTCGGAATACTAAAATACCCACCTAAATGTCTTTCTGTTTGGTTTCAGCTACCTACTTGAACACTACAGTCACCTGCTACGAGTACTATGTCTGGACGTTTAGCTTTCTGAAGAAGTTCAGATAGCCTTCTGCAAAATTCATCTTTCACTTCATCTGAGCTGCAGTCAATGGGAGCGTAGGCAGAAACGACAAAAAGCAACGACGTGTGTCCATATCCATCCGAGTTCTTACGGAACCGTTTAACCGAACAGAACATGGGAGACTGTTAACGGGGATCCACTTTAACAGTGCTTGTTCCGCCC